GCCTTTCTATAAAATTCTTTGTAGCTTTAATTTGAGATAAAATGTTTATGACTGCGCGGTGTTCTCAGAACTGTTAAAAGAAGGCCTGTGTGCCTGTGTTAAAGAAAGCCTGGCCTGTGTCTGTGTGTTTATAAGCCACGTACAATAGTTGATACATGTTGGTTACCTACATATGCTAAAAGTAATTGAAGAACACAGGGAAAGCAAATGATAGGTGGAATTGAGTTTACTATGGTAACATTTTATTTTTATGTGTCTGAGTATTTTGCCTGCATATAGATGTATTTGCACCATGTGCATGCCTTGTGTCAACAGGGGTCAGAAGAGGGAGTAGGATGCCCTGGAACTAGAGTTTCTAATGGTTATAAACTGTTATGTGGATGCTGGAACCAGAACCCAGGTCTCTGGAAGAACAGCTAGTGTTCTTAACCACTAAGCCATCTCTCCAGCCTTACTTAGATTAGTTTTGAAGTGAGGTCAGAGCATGAAATATGTTACTCTTGAAGGGTTGAGGAAAGCTCACAAAAGGTGTGTTATAAGTTGGTTATGGTTACTATTGTTGAGTCTCCAAGAGTCAGATGAGTGGACTTTTTTTTTAATTCAAAGAAATGACATCAGAAAAGAGATATCAGGTCTTGGGGCAGCATGGTTCCTGCTGGAGCTCCAAGGACTGGGAACTTGGATGTGTGTAGCTGCAGTGGTGACAAAGGTAGTAAAGGGCCAGGGCATATTCACCTCCATACAGAGTTTTGTCCAGAAACCCATGGAGTTTTCTCTGTAGAGTGTGTTGCTGGCTATAGATTTTAGCCAGAAGATGGTATGATCCTATCAGTGTTTCAGATAAGCACTAAGGGACTGGAATAAAGACTCAGAGCAAAAATCGGAAGTAGTTACAAGTAAGAAATGAAGGAGAGCTTTTCAAAGACATCAAAAAAGGTTACAAGACTTAGTGGATGTAGGAAGTACTTAGGAGACAAAGCAGGGCTTTATAATATACTGGGAAGATGGGTGAAGAACAGCTAAAAAGCCAGAATGTCTCCCAAATCTGTGGCTGCTGACCAGGTGAGTGATGTTCTGTGATGATGCAGATGTGGGGAAGGAGGAAGAGGGTTTGGATTGTTGTTCGTTGCGTTGCACATGCTTTAGGGCATCCAAACAGAGCTCTTAGGGAGAGGATTGCATGTAAGTCATGAGATAGGCTGCAGACCGTCACTGCAAGCACTGATAGGTCTGTGAGTGTGAAAGCCTGGGGACTCATGGCAGTGGGTGGGGTTATCCCGAGGAGATGCAAACAGAGGTGATGAGAGTTCTCAAGGAAAGCCTAGAGGAAGGGCAAGCCTCCACCTGGTAATGGAGTAAGGGAAGGCCTCAGAGGAGACTAAAGAATCACAACAGGAGGAACTCAAACAAGAACTGCCCACAGTGAGGCATCCTGACCATTCATTATGATACCAACCTAACAACATTTTGGGGAGATTGGAAATTCCAACTACATATTAGAAAATACCTTGGTAATTTTGTTAACAATTCCTTTCTCCGCTGAACAGTTCAATTGTGGTTTTTAGTAATTTCTATCTTGACTTGTATTGTATGTCTTATGCTTTTTGTTCAGTGGGCACTTCTTTGAGGGTAGGATTCATGATTTATCCTGTTTGATTGGTAGATTATGTTGGTGCAAGAACTCACTACAACATCTATTGCATGCATAATCGATAGCTACTTATTTAACTATCCAGATCATATACTTTTAATGTGTTTTACTATAAATATATATAAACTCTGTTGCCTAACTTTCTGCCTTTTAAAATTGAGCACACTGAACACAATGTAATCTTTCCTTGGTTAGAGTCACTCAACTATAGGTAGACAGCATACTTTGCCCTACACTAAAGTGACGTCAGGATAGTTGTCAGCTCAGTCTTATCTATTTTTTTCTTTGTATGAGAAATAAAAGAAGGCCACCAGGCCAAATGAATAGCGGTCAAAATTGTAAAATTCTGAGATAATGATGCATACATGTAAATTAATTGTATAAGACCTGTATCATTCTCAATACACTAATATAATGTTCCCAGATTGGTTGGATGGGAGAGGAGATGGATTGGAATAAAGGTTGGTACTGGAACCGCTTTCCCACCTAGCAAGCTGTGAAGGCATAGACCTTAAAGCCACTCGTCTTGTATATTTCTGATCAAGCATATCAGCTATATCTATAACTAAGGGCTACATCTAAAGTTTTTCTGCTGGACAGTGGGTGATTGAAACTTGTTCAGAGTGCAAGCACCCTGCCCTCTTTGTGTAGTTGGGTATCACCCACGTGTGTGATGGAATGGTGGGATTTATTTGCCTTCTAAAGAAATTTAGAGAGTGGAAGTCTAACGTTCTGCATTTTTATAAGAATAAACACGTACACAACACATGAAATAAGATAAGCATCAATTCTAGTTTTTATCTTGGATAAAGATGTCAAAGAGTCAACCATTTATTTGTACATTGGCAAGCAGACTCCATGAAAGCTGTAACAACAGTAGCAGCTTTAAATTCTGTCTCTAAAACTAATTATTGAGCATAGGGAGCGTGTGGAAATCAATTGTTTGGTGACGATTAGGATCCCGGGTGTGAAAACATATGGATATCATGTCATCTGCTTCTTTCAGACTATTCTGGCCCAAGTCCAAGTGTTACGACTACTTATATCAAGAAGCAGAAACTCTTCTGAAAAATTTCCCAATTCAAGCTACAATTTCGTTTTATGAAGATTCTGATAGTGAAGATGAAATAGAGGGGCCAGCTTGTGAAAATCAATCGAGTTAGTTACTTCTGTTGACAATTGAGTTGTGTAGAATTTAAATTTTGTATATAAATGTACCATAAACTTTTAAAACTAATTTATTTGTATATATGTTATTAATAAAATATTTTGTAATAACTATAGTATTTGGGCTTCTCTTTGTCCCTACACTAGAATTAAATGTTGGGATTTAAGATAGACATCATGTACAAATATTCTGATTGTGTTGCAAATATTTGTGGTTCACATAGGATACTTTTGGTTTCTTTATACAATACTATTTGGGTTTTTTTTAAAGACTGATCCTTGTAATGTCTGGTGTTTTCTATTGATCTCAGTTGGATGTTTAGTTACAGATGATATGATCTTGGCAGTTAGTGAAGAAAACTGGGTGGTGCTACTACTCTCACATATATTAATATTTGTTTGCTAGTTCATAATGAAAGTGCTTTAAGTAGTTATCTATAGTTGAGAAAGAAAAACAATCTTGGGTCTCTTTAATCTTAATGACTATAATTAAGTATCGAGTAGGGTGACTCTCACTCTGATACTCTCCTGTTGTCTTTAGTCGGGTGTTCAGTACTTTCTGTATATGTTGAAGGATTCCTATATTTAAAAAAGATTTAAATTTGAATTATTTGTATGGAGTCGAAAACCAGTGATAATATGAAAGTATTCTCTTTTTTTGTCCTGGATAAAGCTAAGATTTGGAAGACATAAAATTCAACATTATCCACTTTCCTTTTGCTCTAGTTCCATGCTCACAATATTCTCATATAAACTTTTTTATAGGGAGTAAAATAAATTCCAATGACTGGTTTCTCTTATGTTGCCATCACAGAAGAAAACTTACTCCATCCAATAATGTTATGGACAATGGACAATTTACATGGCTAAGGTGACATAGTAAGCTATGATCATGAAGTACTTTTAGTTTATATATAATCGTCTGGTCAACAGTTACATTGCAATCAAACATATTTTTATTAGCCTATAATCTGAGGTACTTGTGAAGATGAGGCAGGAGAACTGCAAGCTCAATGCTTGCCTGACAATATACCAAAAATACTTTCCTGCAATATTCCAGAATATAAATGGGTAGAGGTGGAGATGAGAGTTAGTTAGCTACCTAAGAAATGCCTCTTGCTGGGATGACTAAGCATATCCACAGGCTTTCTCTCATAATATTAAACCATATTATCACAACTTTGATTCCCAGGAACTCTGGAGACTGCATAATTTAAATAAATGATGTGTCCAGAGTCAGAAAAAATTTAGTACCCCACAGAGAATCCACAGGGCTATTTAGAACTGCTCTTTGGGAAAATGTTCTCATTCTATTAGATTCTACTCTGTGGATCTGTGTATTCTTCTAGAGACATGCAAAAGAGAGCCCAGTGAAGCAGAAACATGGGCCCACAACATTAGGTGCTTCTCTTGTTAACAAACAAGAGAAGAATAGTATAAGGTGCTATATATGCAGTATATGGTTTAGATATGGACATTTATTTCTTATAGAAACCCAAGCCTATGCAGACAGACAAAATGTTCCTTTAATAAACTAAAAGTACTGTGCATAAACCATTAAGTACAAAGATGACACCAAAACCAAATCACTTTTAAAGGAAGATTTCAGTGAAAGTGAAAAGTTATGGGAGGAGGAAAAATGTGTGAGTGTGTGGACAGAGCAGAAGACTGGAAACGTCTTTTGCTCGTTTTCCAGACCGGTTCCCCAAAGGTGAAGTTTTCTTCTTAACCCACAGCAGAGTCTGCTTGAGTTCGGCTTCTTAGCTCATGAAGTTGTGAAGTCCTCTTTCCTAGAGCTTAGTATTTTACAGGAGAGAACTATTCAGCAGACTGAACATTTTGATAGTGTTATTTTCTTTCATATTTTAAGCAGTCCGATGGTGTTGTTTATCAAGAGACAGGCACTGGTGTTCTTGTTCTACCAGAAATGACCCTCGGCCTCTATCAGCACCAGGGCTGGGGAACAGCTACACTCTCTGATCTTTCAGCAGAAGGCTGTCATTTTCCTTGTGGTGCTGAAGTTTAGGACTAAAGCGCATGCGCTGTCCCCAACCCCGCACAGCCACGCCTCCCAAGCCCCGTGACCCGGCTTGTAGAATGAACGCCTTTCCTCTGACTCCGCCCCCATCCCGCCTCCCGTAAGCGTGATTGCGTCACGACGCGTCTGACCCCTAGTGACCCCGGAAGTGGGTCGGGGGGCTTGGCCTCGGCCGGGCCAAGGAGCCGGCACAGACAGTGGTAGCTGCTGGGGTCCCGTCAGGCGAGCCTGTCCGGTGGCGGAGCCCGGATGCGGCCCGAGCCGGGGGCCCAGGATGCTGAACGTCCCTTCCCAGGCTTTCCCGGCCCCCGGCTCCCAGCAGCGTGTCGCCTCCCAGGGGCGCAGCAAGGTAAGTGGTTTGTCTACTGACTCAAGTGCCCTAAGTGTGTTTCCTGCTGCTGAAATTGGCCTCGGTAGGTCTACTCTGGTTGCTTTTCTGCCTCAAGTTGTCCTCTCTGATCTTTTGTTCTTTACGGTTAGAAGAACAAGGCTGAGCACTGGCGGTGGGTAGGGAAGACTGGAGGCTGCCAACCTGTCCAAGTCGCACTCCTCTACGTTTAAGATAGCCAGTTGTTCCAGCACTGCCACATCTGTAGACAGCCCTGGTTGATTTTAAATCTGGTACCATGCTCTTGACTATTTGTTGAATATGGTTACTGTCAGCACTAGGTGGAAATACAAATATATATTTACAAAATTCAATAAAAATTGTGTAGTGTATTCATTGCAAGGCGAATGCTGTTTGCTTATCTTATTCTGGATAGTTCCTTATTCTGTAACTACACCTTGGTATTTTCTTTTGAGACTTCTATCTTCTTGGGCTACTCTACTCGGTTTCCTTTTCGAGTTTTACTTTATATGACCTTAAGACTTTCAATGAATGTTTCTGTTTTTCTCCACTTAGATCTGGCGGTTTGACCTTAGATCAGAAAAGGAATTGAGGTTTTCATTTATTTTTCAGAAGTGTCTGTCCTCAGCTTTAATCATGCATAGGACTAAGATGTTTTGTGGGGTTCACTGATGGCTATGTGTAGCTTGAGTCCTTTTCCTGTGTCCATTGACTCTTCACAGCTACCCTGAAGAGAGGGGTGTTTACTATCTTCATTCTGGGTAAAAAGAAAGAGGTTAGTGAAAGTCTGCCATCAGTCACATAAGCTTGTGATTGTGACATTTCCTGCATTGCTTTGTGTGCGCGCGTCTGCTCACCAGCCATCAATTGTGTATCTTGCTCTCTTTAAGCTAAATGCTTAGCTCCATAGTCAAAGAAAGGTTGCCTTTTGCAGAATGAGAAAGCCAGTAACTGCCTTTCTTCATTAAAACAGCTGTGTTCTCAGCATTCACTTAAAGGAGAAAACTTCTAGGCAAAGACAACAAGTTCCTTAGATGTGGTAGCAGAAGTGAGTTTTGTTGTCCCAGAAGCAGGCAAAGTAAGATCTTTGTGTAATTTAATAGGAACCTCAGGTGGAATTAATTTCTTTGTTATGAAATGAGACAATCTTGAACCTGTGAGAAGCTGAGTTAGGACTGGGTGAAACAACCAGAGAAAGTTTTCAAAAATGGAACTCATCCAGAGAGGCTGATTATTAAATTGTTAAAAGCATAGACTTTAAGAGATGTCTTTGTAAGACCCACCACTTCACCTCAGTCACTTTTTGGCTCAGGTGTAGGTAAGGATGACCAGTTTTTGTTGCTGTCTTGTTTATAGGACTGAGGTGCTATTTCTTCATAGCACAGCATTATGCTATGCTATGTGAGTATATGCTGAGTGTTATGCACTCAGTAAATACTACTTACCATACGCCTTTTATTCAAATCTCACCAATTTGAATCTTACAGGGAGACAGATTCCTTATGCAATAGTGTTTGTTGAGAAACTGTGAGCAGTGTCCTACATAGACTAAGCCATTTGAACATGGGCTTCCCAGTTGATGGTGCTGTCTGGGGACATTATGAAACCTTTAGGAGGCTTGGCTTTGTTGGAAACAGTATGTCACTTTGGGCAGGCTTTGAGGGTTTGCAGCCTCACTCCACTTTCAGTTTGCTCTCTCTGATTCATCTCTGTGTGCAGTTGTTATATGAATAGTCAGCGTCCTGCTCTGGCTGCCTGATGCCACACCTTCCTTGCCATTATGGACTCCCCTTCTGGAACCATAAATCAAAATAAACTCTTTCTTCTATAAGTTGATTTTAGTCATGGTGTTTTATCATAGCAGCAAAAGGAAACTAATACAGTATGGTGTGTTGAAGGGTGGTCTCTGATTTCAAGGAACTTAGTCTCACAGGCTGCACAGATAAGAAAACAATGATAGTCCGTACTTCAATAGGGTGTTAGCACCATAAGAGAGTTGGAATTGGAGTAGAGGAAAATACTGTGAGCAAGTGCTTGATACCAATGGTGAGTCTGTTCCCATTAGGCCAAGCATCTGATAGAAAGTTGTAGAAAGTTGTGGCTAAGACATGGAGCTGGTAATGCAAACTGTGACCAGATTATGGAGGGACTGACAAACAATTGAGGAGTCTAGGCATCACTATAAGGAGCCACTGGCGAAGGAAGATTGATGATTTGAGTTGCATTTCCAAAAGATTAACTGCCCTGGGGACTACTGAATAGAGAGGAAGCCCAGTGAGTTTCTCTGGGATAGGAACTGTTTTTCTCACCTTTTATTCTTTGGGTGGAATCAAGTCACCAGAAGAGTTTCACCAATGGTCAAAACAAGAGGGTTGAGTTAGATGATGGAGTGTTCCCCAGAGGTAATGACCTATTTATTTTGGGGTAAATGAATACCTAAATTAGATATGACTCCAGAAAGTGAGTTATGCAAGCTTCCTCCAGTGTGCACGTGTTTGCAGTATCTGTTCTCCTGGTACTTTGGAATGAGCTAGTTGAACAAGAGTGGCTCTGTGCAATACAGGTGCTTGAAATTTTCCACTAAATCATCCTAACTAATTAAAATACTAGTATACCCATGTTAATACACTTAGTACCACTGTAAGAATACTCCAAAGTGGATAATGGATAAAGGACAGATTTATTTATTAGATGGGAAGTGTTCATATCCAGCCAAGGCCTTATTATAAGCTTTGTTAGAATGTGGTGGAAGGCATCACAGGGCAATAAAGAACACAGGGGAACTTGTAGCTTCAAAGCCATATTTAATTTACATTAACTCTAAGGACTTACACACTTCCCAGTATACCCCACCTTGCAGAACAGGTTTATTATGTGTGTTTTTTTGCGGGGGGAGCACATTCTGACCATCCAATCTTTCACCTTAAAATCTTGAAAATGTATTTTGTAACAAAAAACAACAACAACAACAAAAACACAACTCCGAGTGTCCTGTTACTAAATCATGTAGGCAGGGGTTAGTAGATATTTTCTGCAAAGGGCACCATTATAAACACAGTAATCTTTCCCAGTTCATGACTTCATGTCCCATCTTTCCTTTTATCTACAGTCAACTGCATGAGTTGTCTTGTTGTCCTGTGTCTAAGGTGCATGCACTGCCTGCCCATCCCTTAGTCACCCAGTAGCCATCATTATTGTTTCTAGATAGACAGTTGAAAATGGAAGTGCATGTCTTCAAGTCACCATTAATTTACTTAGTAATGGCCTAAATGTCTGACTAACAATAGTGGAAATTCTATGCCAAAGGGAAGCCATGAAGTGCTTCTTGTGAGTAGAAATGTGAGAGTTCTTAGTAAGAAAATAATTCATCCTGAGGTCACTAATACCCACAGTAAAAGCAAGTTTCCATGAATTGTGAAGGAAAAAAGAAAATGTATGGGGGGGAAAAAGTATCCATAGGGTGTTTGGTGGTGGCCTTGGTTTCAGGCAATCTCTGAGACATGTTTAGCTTATCTTAGTGGGAGGTCTCTGTATGCGAGCAGTCATCCAGAGGAGGAAGCTGTGGTTGATAGTTTCTGTATATACTGTCAGCATTCACACTCAAGACTAGAAGAAGGCTGTGCCAATTCCCTTGTTTCCTAGGCATTGAAGTCCTTGATGTGGCTGCACTGTGCTCAAGTTGATGACACATTTTCACATAGGCCTTCTTCTCCTCCCCATACCCTTCCTCACAGTATTTTCCTCTGCTTGATTTACTTTATCAGTGGGTTTGTAGAAAACACTGTTGCATAGTAATTTCTGATTTTCTGTTTATATTGATAATTCAGAAAGGGTCCACTCTAGCCAATCTTTGGCATATCTTCTGTCAAATCTCCTGATTGTTAATGAAAGATTTTGGTGCGCAGCTTAGACAAACAACATGAGACCAGCCGGTTCCATGAAGGGAGGGGGTTTATTCAGGGCGGAGGTTGGGGAGAGAAGCAGGTGAAGATGGCAGGGTGGGGGAAGAAGAGAGAGCGAGGTTGGGGGAGTTCTGTCTATTTGTATGGGCGATGATGTAGTCTTTTTCCCAGGTAAAGGTGAGGTAGCCAGGTGAATTGTGGGAGTGTATATCAGTTGCCTCGGCAACGATGTAGAAGTCGCCTGTTGCCTGGATGTGACATCACTGAGTTTGGACTTATACTAACAGTTAAGGTCACAAATTTTGGTTCAAAATGGCAATGATAGCATAATTAGTAACAGAGCTAGGACCTGGACAGTCTAAATTTCTGACTTTAGATTCAAAACCGTGTCTATTATACCTTACTGCCATTATGAAGAAAATTTGTGAGACAAAATTTCTAAGTCCTATCTCATAGTCAGTATCTTAAATAATATTTTGTTTAAGACTCTAAGCATCTGAATTTCCTGGACATCTTGAACTAGACGAAAGAATCCCCTTCCTGTAATAAAAATTAAAAATAAATCAATTAAAGTTAATCAAAAGAAAAAAATTAAAGAAAATAAAAGAGAAATTAAATTTTAAGTGTTTTTTTTGTTTTGTTTGTTTGTTTGTTTTTTGTTTTTAAAGAAAGAAAAAGCCAGGCATGAGAGCTTTCCTTTGTAATCCCAGTACTCAGGAGGATTGATGGCTGCCAGTCCTGTAACGAGCCTGAACTGCTACATGACAGGACCTTCCTTGTTGAAAATGCTAGATAAAGGCCAGGCAGTGGTGGCACATGCCTTTAATCCCAGCACTTGGGAGGCAGAGGCAGGCGGATTTCTGAGTTCGAGGCCAGCCTGGTCTACAGAGTGAGTTCCAGGACAGCCAGGGCTACACAGAGAAACCCTGTCTTGAAAAACCGAAAGAAAGAAAGAAAGAAAGAAAGAAAGAAAGAAAGAAAGAAAGAAAGAAAGAAAGAAGAAAATGCTAGATAAAGTAAACTTCTAATTGCAGTAGAACAATTTCAGTCCCCATCTCACACACACACACACACACACACACACACACACACACAATGAGAGAATTTATAGAATTGTTTTTAGTTTTATCATTTTACTCATTTATTTTTTGAGATGGGATCTTGTTGTGTAGTCTAAGATGTCCTCATGTCCTCAAATTTGCCATGCTTCCCAGAATTTCTTTTAAAAGGCTAATAAAAGGACTGAAGTAGTTCAAAGACAAATAGCCAGAGGAAAGGGAAGCAGCTAACTTAGAACCAGATGTTACTTTTGCTTTCCGTTCTCTAGGTACCTTTAAAACAAGGCAGGAGTCTTATGGATTGGATCCGACTGACCAAGAGTGGAAAGGACTTAACAGGACTGAAGGGCGGGTTAATTGAAGTAACTGAAGAGGAGCTTAAGAAGCACAACAAGAAAGACGACTGTTGGATATGCATAAGAGGTAGGCAGCATGTACTAAACATTTCAGAAACTTGCCTGAACTTTCAGACTTGCTAACAAAAATTGCCTTACTAGATCATAAATAATGTTGTTCTCACTCTGGACAGTATTTTTCCTTACATAAACTTTTACATTTTGATGCAGAAGACAGAGAACTAATGGGATGGAAATCTTTTGTAGCATTCTTACGTTGTCCTTTTGAAAGGAAGCACACGTGTTTGCCAAGAAATTTAACACCAAGGTGTTAAAACTCTCCGGGGCACCCAGTATATGGAATAACTGCCCATCCCAGAGCCTTGTGATTGAATGCTGTTAGAATAAAGGTCTCTGAGATTCTAAAGGAAATCATATGCGTGTGTGTTGTATGCACCTATTCATATTTGTATGTGTATATGCATGTGTTTGTACACATGCGAGAACACTGTTCCGTGTGTGTCTGTGGAGACCAGAGGTTGATGAGCTTTAGATTCAGTGAGAGACTGTCTTAAAGCATAGCGAGGAGACAGCTGAAGTTAACCTCTGGCTTCCACACATATGTGTAGACATGAACATACATGTATACCCACATTCTCCCATGCACACACTCACAAACACACATAAAGAATCAGTTCATTAAGGACACCATGTTGATGTGTGGTGACAAAGCTTCAAAGCACATAGCAGACATTAGAAGAACCAAGGGATAGAATTAAAGTTTTCATTCAGAGTTGTAGATTTTAATCCCTCTCAGCAATTGTTAGAACTAGATAAACATCTGTAGACATAATGAAATTGGCAGTGCAGTTCCTTTATTGAACACAAGATGGTGAAGTCATCACAGTCCTTAGACTGAGGCTTAGAGTTGAAAAATGGTGAGTTACTCCATGTTTTTACCTTATGAACATATCTTTTCCTATTATATTTTTGGGGCTATCATTATTAACAATGGGAAAAATTTTAAGTAAGTAAAAATGCTGTTCTATAATGGCATATTATACTTGCTACATACATGATAGGTACTAAATTCATTTATTAAATGTAGTCTAGAACTTTAATATTTGTTTGAATGTTAAAACCAAAAATTAGTTTTTAATATGTTTACTTTAATTACCGGAGTGCTTTCAGAATTTTTTTGAGTCTTGAAATAACTCCTAATTTTTTAACAATTATTGAGAATATTAAAAGGCTTTTGTTTGCATGGTGTCTCTTAATGTTACCATTAATTAAAATTAAGAAATATAAACAGTATTTTAAATAATAATTTAATTAATAAATTTAATTTTGTTTGCATGGTGTCTCTTAATGTTACCATTAATTAAAATTAAGAAATATAAACAGTATTTTAAATAATAATTTAATTAATAAATTAATAAATTAAATTTAATAAAACTGCTACATGTGGTACATAGTACCTATGTTTATGAAAAGAACTTTTCTAAATGAAAAATATAGGAGTCCATAATTTTCAGTTTTGGTAAATATCTCTAGTGCATAGCCTCATAGATGACAGCTCACGTGTATTGTTGTGTTACTGTCTCCAGTCTCATATCACATGTCCATGTAGCTTCTAGAAAATCTCACATTTATGAAAGAACAAGAATTTTAAACAAACATAGTATTTTAGTTTTATTTGAACAAAATTTTCACCTTGCACCACCAGAAGTGTCTTTTTTGTGCTTCCTCTGGAGTCCTTGGGCTCTACCATGTAACTTACAGAAGAGAATAAAAAAGAAATGGAAAAATTCCCAGTCAGTGAACATGTGGCCAAAGCATTAGGATACCCTTAGTTCTGTATGGTGAGCCATGGTGGCTCACATGCATACTTAGTTACCTAGCCTGGGACACTGCGGCACCTTCATTTGGGAGATAGACAAACAGACATAGGTCTTTGGCACTAACCCATGTGGGTCTAAGACGGGACTGTCTGAAGGCACCATCACATAGATCTGCGCTTGAGATTACAGTGGAGTGTGCTGCAGTTCTGAATCTAGTCATCTTTAGATGGAGTGGCCTGATTCAGGTTCTTCAGGTTGGTAGAGGCTTTTCTTGTCTCTAGAGCATTTGAGATATAACTAAAAATTAAGCCTTCAGCAATTAGGATATTCAAAATTACCATTGAGGGGAAAATTGTCATAATTCTTGGTACATCTATGTTAGACAGTAAATAGATTTATTGGATGAATATAATCTGGAATTTTAATATTTATTTGAATATGAAACCCAAAATTCAGTTTTAATATGTTTTCTTTTATTTATGTGAGTGCTGCCAGACTTTTGGGTCTTTAAGTCCTCCCATTCTTCAAATCACCAAGCCTAGAAAACTGTGTATGGGTAACTTCTTTCATGAACAAAATACCCAAGATAAACAACTCTCAAAAAGCTTTTATTTGGCCAATGCTTTCAAAGATTTCAGCCCATGGTCATCTGGCTGCAAGGCTTTGGTGCCAGAGGCAAGGTGTTACATGGTGGTGAGAATACATGGCAGAGGAGAGTGCTTGGCTCATAGCCAGGAGCTAGAAAGACTGACAAGAGGGGCTGGGTCTTCCTTAATGAGCTAGTTCCTTCCTCTAGGCCCAGCCAACTGAGAGCACATAAAATGCTAATAGCACCGTGGACTAGTACCCAAACATCAACACAGATCCTAAGGAACATATTGAAAGTATAACACCATTTGATTGTTTATTATATTTCCTTCTAGATGTATGTATCTACGATTAGTGAAATCATGTGTGTCCACACAGCTCATACATCAGAACACAACATAAAAGCCCAACTAGTGATGAGTGGATGAACCAAATTTGACTTATCCACATGGCATATTACCTATCCATAAAACCAAAACATCCTTAGGCTGCTAAAGACTGTGTTTTGTATCATTGCACTTGTATGAAATGACCAGAATAAGCAAACCTATCCAGACAGAATGGTTTCCTGTGTCTTAGCAGATTTTTATCAGGGTGGTAGACAGCAGTGGAATGAAATTTTATTTCTCTCTTTCTTTGTGTGTGTGCATATGCACACATATCTATGCACATATATGTATACATATTATATAGCGTTTCTTCATGTTGGAAGGCAAGTCTGTGTGGTCTTTTGCATTGTTTTATGTTTTATGAGCAGAGACACTGTTTCCACTGTTTACTCATGAGTCAGCTTAATAAAGATCATGACTACCCCCACAGCAGAGAGCTGGCACTTTCACTGACATTTAGGAAGAACCTGAGTTTCTTTTTTTTTTTTAATTGTCAAAATAACTGACAAAAGTAAATTTTAATTTAAAATTTAAAATATTAGTTTTTGAGGTATGTGTTTGTATGTATACATATTTGGAAGCTTGAGATTAAAGTCAGGAGTGATTCTCAATCACTCTCTGCCTTACTCATTGGGATGGGCCTTTTAGTTGAATGCAGAGCTTACCAATATAGCTGGTTTAACCAGCCAGCTTGCTCTGGGGATCTGTCTCCACCTTCCCAGTGGGAGTTACAGACAGGGTTTCTGAACTGCTGTCTTCAAGCTTGCATGGTTAGTGCTGTACATCCACTAAAGCATTTATCCAGCACCTCCAGATGCTAGTTTAAAAAGTCAGTAATAGGATATATAAACATAACGTCTCAACGTGCACACTCACCAGTGGCTTCTGAACACAGCCATCTGTATTCACATTTGCCTTCCTCAGCTGACAGCCTTTAGTGATTCTTTTTTTTTTTTTTTTGTAATTGGCTATTTTATTTACATTTCAGATTATCCTGTTACCCCATTTCTTCCCCTCCCAGGAATCTCCTATCCCATCCCCCCTCCTCCTGCTTCTATGAGGATGTACCCTCACCTACCCCCACCTCCCACCTTCCGACCCTCAAATTCCCCCCCACCCCCCACCAGCATTCAGCCTTCATGGGACCAAGGATCTCCTCTCCCACCTATGCCCGACAGGGCCATCCTCCCCTACATATACAGCTGAAGCCATGGGTTTCTCCCTAAGTGCTCCCAGGCTGTGGTTTAGATCCTAGGAGCTCTTGTTGGTTGATATTGTTGCTTTCCTCATGGGGCCGCAAACCTTTTCAGCTCCTTCAGTCTTCACTCTAACTCCTCCATTGGGAACCCTTTGATCAGTTCAATGGTTAGCTGTGAGCATCCATCTCTGAATATGTCAGACTCTGGCAGACCTCTAAGGACACACAGCTATATCAGGCTTCTGTCAGCATGCACTTCCTGACATCCACATCAGCGTCTGCCTTTGGTGACTGCACATGAGATGGATACCCAGGTGGAATGGTCTCCAGACAGCCCCTCTTTCAGCTTCTGTCCCACCTTTGTCTCCATATTTGCTCCCTTGAGTATTTTGTTACTCCTTTTAAGAAGGATGGAAGCACCGCCACTTGGTCTTCCTTCTTCATGAGCTTTATGTGGTTTGTGAGTTGAATCTTGGGTATTTCAAGCTTCTGGGCTAATATCCAATAATCAGTGAGTGAATACCATGTATGTTCTTTTGTGATTGGGTTACCTCACTCAGGATGATATTTTCTAGTTCCATCCATTTACCTAAGAATTTCTTGAATTCATTGTTTTTAATAGCTGAGTAATATTCCATTGTGTAAATGTGCCACATTTTCTGCATCCATTCCTCTGTTGAAGGACATCTGGGTTCTTTCCAGCTTCTGGCTATTATAAATAAGGCTGCTTTGAACATAGTTGAGCATATGTCCTTGTTATATGTTGGAGCATCTTCTGGGTATATGCCCAGGTGAGGACCCAGGTATATACCTATGTCTAATTTTCTGAGGAACTGTCAGACTGATTTCCAAAGTGGTTGCACCATCTTGCAATCCCACCAACTGAGTTTCTTTATCCAGGTTCCTCTCCTGGAGGAGTAGAAGTGCACAGGTCTCGGGGTCCTCTTCACATAGCTCTGTGGGAACTAGGGATCAAGGAGCTGATGCGAATGTTGCTTTTCTAGTTGCAGGTGTTGATTAAGTATTAAACTTTCTTGTCTTAACCAACAAGTCCCATGTTATTTAAGAGAGACCAGGAAACTGGCAGGTTAATTAGCTAGCTCATAAGATCAATGAAATTTTAGACTTTACAGCTCTCACTACTTTGAAAAAATGAAGTCCTAGATGAGATGTTACGAGAGAGTTATCATAACTTACATTTATAGGCCTTACAATTTCTAAGAAGTTCCTGTGGACATTATTTGTCCTTGCTTTGATGCAGGGTTTGTTTACAATGTCAGCCCATACATGGAGTATCATCCTGGTGGGGAGGATGAACTTATGAGAGCCGCAGGAGCGGATGGAACGGATCTTTTTAATGAGGTAAGTTGCTTCAGTTAATCAGGACGTTGTAAGCATGGATTTAGCAGTGAGACATTTGTAGGAAGAAAATGCTTGCATTCATTTGAGATGGGTGGGCTTGAACTGGTCTTTGAGACCCTGAATAGAATCATATGTCAGAGTAAATATTTTCCTTTGAACATACTTAAATGCCTGCTGTTTAGAGTCCTGTAATTGACAAACCCTATACCCTTGCCTCCTTGAATCTCTTCTTTTTTATCTGTTTGCTTAAATTACCCACATGTACACTCCAAAGGCAGGTTTTACACAGTAGTGGATGCATTATGAGTAACTGCAAATAAAATTTCAGTTTCTATTAGTAATAAGTGCATGTCCATTTTGTAATGTATTTGCTATTTAGGGTTATTTATTTCCTCAGGGTTATTAAGATCCTGTTAACAATATTGCTTGACTGTTTTTTTTTCAATATTTGAACAATGTATTATGACTGATATTGAGTAATGTAAATGGTCTTCTTTTACTGATGCTTTTGAATATTGTGTTCTTTTTTTCTAATCTTTTTACAATTGAACATTTAAATTCTTTTTCTAGGATTTTGCTAATGTAAACAGTGTTATGCTTCTAGCATAGTGATGCACACAGTTTATTCTATCACTCAGGAGGTTGAGGCAGGAGGATATGTATGAATTAGAAGGTAGCTTGGGTTACATAGTTTGCTCTGGACCAGCTTAAGTTCAAGTTTTCTGTTTTATCATACAGGAAGAATATGACAGTAATTTTCATACATTGTGAAGGATATTCTTAAACACTAGTGCCTACCCCCAATCTGTGATGCTTTCAATTGCATTGCAAATGACAAAGAAATAAAAAGGATAAATTACATCTGAGTGTTCTTTTGAAATTGTTGGGACTTTGTGGGCACCTGACAGTGTCAGAGGTCTGTGGACAACACATTGAGAATACTGTTCTAAACAGTCTTGATCTGTTGCTAGCTAATTGAGTCTGCTTCAGGGCAGTGTATGAAGTTTCGGCTCTGCTCATGGTAAAATAAGAACGTCCTATGGAGGTAGAGTCATGTTGCCTGTTGGCCATTCATCTCCCATGCTAGGTTCATCGTTGGGTCAATTATGAATCCATGCTGAAAGAATGCCTGGTTGGCAGGATGGCTGTGAAGCCTGCTGTTCCAAAAGGTAAGTAAAACAGAGTGGTTTTAAAATAACATTGGATTTCAATGAATAGGAATAAATAAGTCACAGTACTTTCCCCGGTGTTACTGGCCTTCTACTGTATCTGCTGTAAAGGTTTTATTCAACCTTGGGCCTCCACATACATGCATATATACATGCCCCCTACCCACAGATGTAAGAATGTGCATACACACACACACACACACACACACACACACACAAATGGAGAAAAGAAAGATAAAGAATTCTGTATGTCTTTCCTTTTTAAAAGAAGTGATGTATTTTGTAGAAAGTTGTAAGGGGTAAATTGTATAGAAAGGAAACCTTTATTTGCTTTCTGGTTTTCAGTAATCTCACATGCTGTCATTAACTAAGCAGATTAGTGACAGTACTGGTTACAGATGTTAGCTGAGTTGTTTTATTGTTGAGGTTTTACATTTAATTTTTTTCAGTTAATTTTAGAATTGGCACCTCACTTTGCTATTCCTGGCTACAGTCAAACTCACAGTCCTTTTTCCTTAGCCTCTGAGAAGCTGGGATTACAGGTGTGGCAGATGTGGCCCCATGCTCAGCTTATAATTTAACTGTTTTGATTCTTTCATTGGACTCAAAAAAAAAAAAAAACAAACAAACCTGTAAAAAGTGATCCAGAACAGTGTTACCTTCTGCCTTTCTCCCTCATTTATCTCTTCCTTGTCTCCTCACTGATGTGATCATTCTTTGTTAAGCTTCTTTAAAGTGTAACTACCTCTGAGCGGGAGCTCTCCTATCTGACAGCTGTTCTTGACCCTCTTTCATAAGAGTTCCCTCTTGGAGTTTGAATGGAATGGCAGAAGCAGGAATACTTTATATAACCCCTTTCTGTGAAGGGATATAGCAATTTCTGTTCAGTCACTCTTGACTCTGGGTCTCATTCAGAATGAATCGGTCTGTTCAAACAGAATCTTTGACTGCTTAGTTCAGTGAATTTTGTAATTCAAGGCTTTATTGCTGGAAGCTTCTCTCAGTAAGCCACTATGTAGGTCCTGGGATTTTAGATCCACAAAGGAATGTCCATGGTCACATAGAGCTAAGGAACAGGGGCTTGGAGCTATAAAAGGCAGGAAGTTGGAACTAAGCCCCTGTTTATGGCCTGGACTTGGTAGAACTATGTATTTAATGGAAAAAGTTTTCAACAGTAAAGGGAGATACTGGACTTTCATGTCTGTCTCAACCTTTTTTATAAGGTGATGAAGGAGAAGAAAGAATTTCGTGCAAGAATCTGACACAGTGCTCATAGTAGTAAGGGTGTGCTCCCTGGTGTTCATTGAAGGCAATATTGTGGAACTTGATCTTTATAAAAGAAAATCTTCTTTGTACTTGTAGCTCAGCGAGGCCAGGAACTCTTCAACTCAGATTTGTCTCCACTTAAGTAGTAGTGAGGGATTCCTAGGAAGAGGAGGGAAAAGCAAGTTGTTGATTGGTCAGAAAGGAGAGTTTCGGGGTTCTCAGTATAAGTATAGAAAAGCAATGCACCGCTTCACAGATTACATAGGTTTTTTTTTTTTCTTCTTTTGGTTTTATATTTGAGACCAGCTTCCATGTAGACCAGGCTTACCTCAAATTTGCAGCATTCCTTTAGGCTCTGCTTCCTAAGTGCTGGGATTACAAGTGTGCACCACCATGCCTGCCTATGGAGACTATTTGTATTGTATTGTATTGTATTGTATTGTATTGTATTGTATTGTATTGTATTGTATTGTATTGTATTGTATTGTATTGTATTGTATTGTATTGCTGGGGATTGAACCCAGGGCCTTGTGTATGTTACACAAGCATTCTACTACCACTCTGCAGTGCTTGCTTGGTTATAATTGAGAATAGTTAGTATGTCATCCATTAGGGATTATGAACTCATTAAAACAGCATTGACTGGTGGGACTAGCTGCTTCTATTCGTGTTCACTCTTGGAAGCCAGCCTGGGATCATGTTTGCATGGGTGCTGATAGCTTTTCCTGAAGTAGCTTGGGTTCTCTCAACTAAATAACATATTTAGTTATATACCAGTGTTGCCAGGCCTTTCCTAACCAACTTCAGTGTGACCTACCTGGGAATTCTGATAGGCCACTTACCAGTTTGAAGCAAATGCTCATGAGGATTTGTATCAGAGGAATATGAATTCAGCCTGAAACCCTCTTCCCACAGACACGGGGAAGTTGTTAGAACATCCAAGGAAGTAAGTCAGAGATAAAGGGCAGTTGTGCTGTTGAGGTTTTGTTATGCCTGACCAGAGTTTCGATAATTGTGTCTTAAACTTTTAGGGAAATGAGATTGAATTGATAACCTAAGTTTAAAATGGGACTATTAAGAGCAGCCATGCAGAACTGAGAGTGAATCAGCAAGAACTGCGTTTTAGAAAGGAAAAAATAGAAGCATGTAAAATTAAAAGCTCGTCATGTGAAGAGCTCAGTGGGTAAGACAGGGAGCCTGCAGGGAGCACGAGATTGAGGAACAGCATACACAGAATAAATACAGTGCATGGTGAAAGCATGCGGGAGGCATGAAGTCTCCCCGGCCTAAGGCTTGTAATCAGACTTCTAGAAGGAAGTCATAGTGAGAATGAGGAAGAGGCAGTGCATGAAGGGGGTACAGGCTAGAGTTTCTCAGAATTACTGAATGTCAGGTATTAAAGTTTAGCACAGTCAGCGAACCCCAGACAAGACCAATAAACAGCATGGCATGTGAAACAGTGTTAGAAGTGTACACAACTAGAAGGTGAAGAGTAGCCAGAGGGAGACTCGCCAACACAGCACAGAAGCTAGGTTGGTGCTAGCTACTACAGCTGAGTTCCCAACCAACAGCAGAGGCTAAAAGCGGAATGAATAGTACTTTGAAAATGTTAAGGAAAAAACAACTATCCACTTAAATCACTCTGTAGAAAAGTTAAAACAGATGTACATTAGACCATCAAAAAAACAAAGCCCCTCTCCATGAAGGTAGAACCAGGGGGATGAGGAAATGGAGATTTCAGGCTAAGCCCTAATCATAAAGGACTAAATTATAAACAATGCTCTTTCTGCTGGTTCAGGGAAGGGCAGTATCTTTCTTAGGAAAAGAGCTTTTAGAAACAAAAACCTCCTTTCCTATTCCATCTTTATTTCTGACGTCGATTACATGAGGCAGCATGACCTTTGGAAAGAGCAGAGTTTCATAGACAGATTTGGGTCCAAGTCTCGTCTCTGCTACTTAGACCTTGTTTTCTTAGGCGCCAGTCATAGATGCTACCTAATGATAATGTTTTCTCATTAGTAAAATGAAGAATAATAATAAAATGGAAAAATGGCACGTGAGTAAATATGCTTGCCATATAAGTTCAGACTCCCAGAACCCAAGTAAAAGCTGCACATAGTAGAGCAGCACCTATAACCCCAGTAATCCCTGATAACTGTACTAATTCCTACAAGGAGATGGGAGGCAGGGACAAGAACGAGGCTGACTAGGCTGCAACCCAGATATATTAGTTTTGCAGTATGACCAATGCCCAAAGGTTGTCCTCTGTCCTTAGCCTTTGTCCCATGACCACACATCAACATGCACACACATGGCAACTTTCATATTTCATACATTTACACACATGGATGAGCATTTTAAAGATATTGAGGAATTAACTGAAGCAAAATTTGCCAACCAGCTAGAATCTAAGCAATGTGTGTGTGTGTTGGGGGAGGGTGGCTAGAAATGCCACTAGTGTTCCTGTACTTCACTACTTATAAACACTGAGGCTATTTTTTTTTCAGTTTGTTTCTACAGTTATTAGGTATAAACTAGCATGTGATGCTATGTTTCACCATGAAAAGATGGTTCTGTTACAGTAAAAGAACATTCTTGTTAATTGACAGGACCCATGAGAGTTTGGGGGGAGTCAGCCTGTTTGGATTATGAGTATTTTGTGAATTAGTGGCAATGATTTGAAATGACTTGCGAGGCATTAGGAAGCAAAACAAGAATTTTGCAGAGCAAATAAGCAATGTTTGTGAGCAAAGGGACCTTTAACTTATAAAAATATTTTTATACAATCTAGTTTGATTATGTTTTTCCTCTCCACAACATTCTTCCCACCTACCTTCCTGCTCACTCATTTTTGTGTGTTCTTCCATTTCTCTCTCTTAAATAAAACAAAACTCAAAACAAATAAACAAAAAACCAATAAAACAGAAATATGTATAAGAGAAAAAAGTCTGCAAAACAAACAAAACATAGAGATTGTTTGGTGTTGGCCAACTACTCCTGGGCTTGGGAGTGTGATTGATATACCTAGTGACACTATATTGGAGAAAACTGATTTTTCCCTAGTCTGTGTCTATCAGTTCTTGGAGAGGGGTAGGATTCTGTGTCTTCTTCCCCCTCTCAGTGCTGGTACCCTGTCTGGCCTGAACTTGTGCAGATCCTTTGTCTTCTGCCGTAATCTCTGTGAGTTGATGTGTACCTGTCCTGTTGTGTCTGGAAGACCTTGCCTCCCCCCTTTTTTTGATATTTTCCTTATTTACATTTTAAATATTATCCTCTTTCCCAGTTCCCACCCCCCAAAACTCCCTATCCCATCTCCCCTCCCCTGCTTCTATGAGGGTGTTCCCCCACCCACCCACTCCTACCTCCCTGCCCTCAAATTCCCTTACACTGGGGCATCAAGCCTTCACAGGACCAAGGACCTCTTCTCCTATTGATGCCGGATAAGGCTATCCTCTGCTGCATATGCAGCTGGAGCCATGGGTCCCTCCATATGTACTCCTTTGTTGATGGTTTAGTTCCTGGAACTCTAGAGGGGTCTGGTTGGTAGATATTATTATTCTTCCTATGGGGTTGCAAACCCCTTTAGCTCCTTCAGTCCTTTCTCTAACTCCTCCATTGGAGACCCCTTTAGGGACTCTGTGCTCAGTCCAATGGTTGGCTGCAAGTATCTGCCTCTGTATTTGTCAGGCTCTGGCAGATCTTCTCAGAAGACAGCTATATCTTAGAAGTCATCAATCACCTTTGGTTCTGATGATCTATTCTCCTCTAATGCATCGATCCATGAGCCTTTAAGGGAGGGATTTAACAAAGACATCTCATTCAGGACTGAGTGCTCCAAAGTCCCTTACTGTCTGCACATTGATTGGTTGTGGGTCTCTGGGTCAATTCTCATCTACTGCAAGAAACTTCTCTGATGACTGTTCTATAGAGATAGTCATATATCACTAGGAGTTATTGTATTGCTATGTTCTTTGAACAGAATAGTAGCAGTAGGTTTTCCTTTAGGCTTGTGTCAGATTCTTGGTTATTTTAGCAGTGGCAAGTGTGGGCCTTAATTTCTTTAAAAAAAAAATGGTTGGTTATGTTTGTGCCACTTGTGCCACTTGCAGCTGTGTATCTTACAGGCAAGGCAGATCACTGTTGTAGATTGCAACAGTGGCTGAGAGATATGATAAAGTTTTTTCCTCCTATAGTATGCACAGTACTTTTCAGTACCATGAATGCCAGTCAATGAGGATGAAACTTCTAGTTGGGCACCAGCTCAACTTCTCTGAGTTTAATAACATAAGTAAATGTTGTATTCATCAATAAGACCTTACCTTCAGATTGTGGAGAGTAACCAATAATCCTGGCAGTAGCCTGTGTGAAGGGGAACCCTACCTTGTGACATCTTTCAATTTGAAAATTTGGATGTTATTTTAATTTATTATTCTTTAAAACTTTAAAAAGCTCCTAACAGGGATTAATAATCCCGAGGGGATTATTTTGACCATAATTATATAGCACTTATGTGGCTATTAAAATATATTAGACTTTTGTGAATTGGCTGCTGTCATTACAACTAGACTTAAGATCTGATCCCACCCCCTGCCACCCCACCCCTATGCCACCATGCTGACGAACTGAGTACAGCTGACTGTCAGCCTCTGACCAGCTGAGTTCCTTCAGAAGAGAGGCTTTGGCTAGAGTATTGCCAGTTAGCCAAATGGAAAGGATATCAGTTTGGTTTTTCATAGTATCATCTTTCAAATGATGTAACTAGTTTTCAACAAAGAATACTGAATTTCTTCTTAGGGAAAAAGTTTCTCTCCCAACTAAAATGATGCAAATATAAATGTGTTTAAAAAGGAAAACAGTTTATGACCCAACTTTTTAAAACTTAGACTGGTATAATTGTGAAGGTAATTTAAATAATTTAAGAGGAAGCTTTTTTCATCCTGGAATTTCTTATATGAAAAAATGGACAGGGGGTTACTTTTGAAAAATCCAGTACGTTCTGGCAGATTGAAGTCAGAGTACATTAAGCAAAATAATCCTCTGATGTAATTCTTTTCCCTAGAAACACATTACCTAGAGTAATTTTCAAAATCTATGAGTGCCTAAACAGATTTTTTTTCACGACAAATGAAATTTATTAGAGCTTGGCTCTAAAATACATGGAGCTGGCTTTAATTGGCAGTACTGTGAACTCGCTGTTTCTCTTCAGTAAAGAGATAGTCACAGCTGCAGTAGCCATACCAGGTAACATTGATGGAGGACAGTTAGGACCAGGCAGTGGACATCAGTGCTCCCTTACAAATGGCAAATGGTGTTCTTTGGCAATGATAAGCAATAACCATTTGAGGTACAACTTTTACCATGTTTTAAGTCTTGTATGTTTTTAGGAAGTATTGGACAACAGCATGTCAAGAAAAGTAGGGTGGGGTTTTTAGGAAAACAGATTACATCCTGGCTTTGCCAAGGAGCTGTGGATCAGTTTAGACCTTGGCCTCTTATTTTCATTCTTGAGGAAGAGAAAAGCAATAGTTTGTTGCATATTGTAAGAGTCCTTTCAGTTATAGAATTATTTTGCTTAAAAGGGAGAAAGATGACAATCTGGTTTTCTTAATTATGATCACTATGTGTCAGATGAGTGAAGTAGAGATATTTGTGGGAGTTTGGGTTATTAGAAATTAGGAGACAAAAAATGTGAAAACAGAGCATGCCACACACCTGTAATTCCAGCACTTGGGAAATTAAGCAAAAAGAACCACATGGTGAGGGGTCCTGGGGCCAGTAGGAAGGGGCATACCACCTGGTAACATCTTTGACATTTTGAATATGTTATTTTAGTTCATTATTCTTTAAAACTTTTTAAAGCTACTAACAACTTGCTGAGGGGATTATTTTGACAATAATTGTGTAGCACTTGTATAGTTATTAAAATATATTAAACTCTTATGAGTTGGCTGCTATCCTGAAAAATATACCTGAAACATTTTTTCTGGGTTTTAACTCTAATAATTGTAAAATATGTACATATGAAAATCTTAACATATTTTCCTCATTTTGGTGACTTTATGCTTATTACAATATAGTTATAGACTGACAGACTCATAATAGATAATAAAATCTCTTTGGAGTGTTAATATTTGTATTTTATAGAACATAACTAGTAAATTATGTTTTCTTTATATGAATTTAAAATATGACATCATAGACAAAACTTGGGGTATAAGTGCTCTTAGGATGTGTTATGTGGCTCAGTAGTAGAACCTGTGCTATGTGTTCTCAGAGTCCACAAACTGATTGCCAGCACTTGGGAGAAGTAGTCAAAAATAAATTTACCAAAATACTGGGAGGGGGATGCACATATGTATGTGTGCTTATACACACACACACACACACACACACACACACACACCTACCTATCTGGAGAAATGGGCTAATGGTCTCCACTAAAATGACTTACTTGAAAGAAATACCTTCCATGTCATAGCCCCATTTCTATCCTTGGACATAGTTTAACAACATAGTTCACCAATAATAATGGCTCGATGATCTCTTTCATGTTATAGTATTCTTTTTTATTTATTTATATGAGTATACTGTAGCTGTCTTCAGACACACCAGAAGAGGGCATCAGATGGTTATGAGCCACCATGTGGTTGCTGGGAATTGAACTCAGGACCTTTGGAAGAGCAGTCAGTGCTCTTAACCACTAAACCATCTCTTCAGCCCAGTGTTACAGTATTCTTATCTGACTTTTTCCTTTCCAAATACAGACTGTCATGAAGGAAAGAGAGTCTTAAATGGTAAGTCATATAAATTGCTACATAGAATTGTCTGGAGTATTCAGATTTTTTTTTGTTTGTTTGTTTAAAATGCGAAAGCTACTGTTGCTTAGCTAAACTTAAGGGATTTACTAGAACATTATGGGCCCCTTATTTTAACTATTCCTTGTAAAATAATTGCTTCCATGAAATCTCTGAGCCCAATGCATAAATGCTTATAGTCACTAAGACAGGGCTAAGGTGGTCTCTTAGGCATGTGAGTTCACCTCTGGTGTAGGACAGATTCCAGTAGCTCGTTATTCTAGACTGCTGCTTGACTGAGCAGTACGGACATCCTCATGGTTGGCACTGCCCCCTTCGCACCCAAGTGTGGTGTGGACAATACTGACTGATTCATGAAATGCATGGGGCTCCTCTGAATTGTGTTATTGTACCTGTAGATCAGATATTTTTCCCTCCCTGTTTACAAAACAAAGTTATAGAGTTAACAAGCTAGGTTTTCAGTAGAATTACCTTCTTTTTAAGTGAGAAAATAGTCTGTAATTTGCCATTTATGATGTTTGAAGTTGTTATGGTATAAGACTGCAGTAAATGCAAGGCTGACCTTGGGCTCCATCTGATGGTTGACTTTTGTGATGCTACAGAAATAATCATCCCTCTTGCCTACCACATGTGGCTTTCAGCATCTTTACTCAGGTGCACTGTATTTAACGTTTCAATTAAAGAGAGCCTTAAATGTGAAACATAGCACGCTCCATTGTGGAGCATTACATGTTGTGACTTGGATCCTGTATAGTAGTGAGGTGCATATCTATCTGGTTTTGTGTACGTACCTATGTACAAATGTATATATTTGTATTTTGTAACTTTCTGTGTTTGACTCAGCTAAGTCTATATGGTAATTCTATATTTGCAAATGTAATGTGCCTGCTTTTTGTGTCATTATTTCAACAGCTGATTAAAATCCTGAGTGGGATAGATGAGTTTTGTGCAATAGGGCCCAGATCCCTTAAACTGACGTCATTTTGTCAGCTAGCACTGTTGAGAGGGAGAGTGTTCTTTTGGACCACCTTACTTATTTACGCTGCTCTAACTTGGGCTTTCCCCCGTGTTCCCAGAAGGATATCATGTAAGATTTGTTTTATGGTTTCTTCTTGTACATGTTGAAATCAAGATAGATTCTGTTAAGTTTGGCATTGCTCTCTTCTCATAAGCTGTATCTCTGTGCTGCTCTCTTGATTTTTAAAAGGTATCTGGGATTGATCTCCTTTGTGCTATGGTAGGTTTGCCTCATTAGAACTGTGATGTGTATGAGGGTAGACAAAAAAAGCCAGACCAAAGGCCACCATGTCTTATGATCCCTTCTCTATATAGTAAATAGTGCCATTAATGCATATCCATCAATTTAAAACTAGTCTGGTATCATAAGTCACAGTGGTGACTACCACTGGGAGAGAACAAGCTTTTGGAAAGCACATAAAGAACATACTGGTGACAAGGGTCTCTGTGTCTTATGAAAATGTATTTAGTAGCATATTTATTACTTATGTCTTTTATGTATGTATGTTAAAACGAGTCAAGTATGATGTAGATAAATTACTGTTTTGTTTTGTTTTGTTTTTGTGAAGGCATGCTTCCCAAGAGCCAAGTGACAGACATACTGCCCAGGGAAGGCCCTAGTTCTCCAAGGTATGCACTCTTTTTACATTTCAAAGTGAGAGCAGGTCTACACAAACCCACAAACAGTAGAGGAAAGAACCAAAGAGTTGGTTTACTGCTTCCTGCCAGTCAGTCTTTCTTAGCGCACAAACCAACTGGAGTATCTCATTTTTCAGATGCAGGGGAGAGGGAGCTGTTCCATGAACAGATTTTAAGCAACCGAAGATAGATCCATTTTAAATACTTTAAAACACTGTCTTATTTTTTTTTTCTGATGATATAGTGTATATTCAGGGTAGAAAATTTAGAAAACATAGAAACGGGAAAAACTGTTATAACCCCATTAACTTTAGATATAGATGCCTAACACCGTGCTTTACTGATTTATGGGGTACCTTTTCACACTATATTATGGTTACAGGCTTGCCTTTGAGCAGTATCTGTTGTTAGTATTCTGTGAAAGCATTTTTTTTTGTTCGTATTTGATCACAAAACCATGCCACCATTTATCTTGGTATTCAATCTTTATATATCTATTTTTGGTGGTATTTTTTAAAAAATAAATTTTAATGGAAATACTGACCAATTAATACCAAATGTTTGTTCACGGTGCCTTAGATGAACTTGGGCTTCCTCTTTTGTTATTCTTTGGCTTCTTTTTTGTTATTCTTTTCCCCTCCACTGGTCTTTAATGCTCTAACAGAAGCACTTTACTATACATAGGGTTAAATAAGTTTGTGGACAGTTTTGTTAAGGGACTAAGAATGCCTCTGTGTGGCTGTCTTTACATAGGTGATCAGTATAGACTTGAACGGCTTTCCATTAACTTTCATTACTGACCCATTACCTTGAAGAATGAATTTTCTTTTAAAAATTGTGTGTATGCACATGTGCCACAGTGTTTGCGTGAAGGTTTTCACAATCTTGGGCATGGATCCTCACCTTCTACCTTGTCTGAGACAAGATCTTTTTTCCCCTGTCCTTTGCTGCCACATGTGCCAAAGGCAACTGGCCTGTGAACTTTCAGAGCTTCTCCTGCCTCCACCTTCTACCTTGCCACAGGAACACTGAGATTACAGATGTGTAGTCCTGCATCAGGCTTTATATGGGCTGTTCAGATTTGATCTCATGTCCTCACATTTATTCAGCAAGCATTTTTACCACTGAGCCATCTTCTCAGCTAAAGAATGAATTTCTTTAGTAGTGATATTTTCATTATAGAGAGGAAGGTGATAAGCATGCAGATTTCTTCATGCTCCTTAACAATACATGTATGTATTCTGTTATTACTCTGAAGATTTTAGTAGAAAAATATATCACCTTTATTTTGCCCATTTTGGTGGTTTTATTTAAGTACATGGAATTATAGATATTTAAATTTGTAGATAGATGCCAGCTATATCATGATAACTGCAACATCTTAAGACCACCATTTAGAAAAGAGTTTTACCTGGAGAAATATATTTTTCACTGTGGATTTTAAACATTGATTGACTTCATGTGTTCTTGCACATCATTCTGAGTATTTTTCACTCTTACTGTCTTACAGCTATGATTGGTTCCAAACAGAGTCTTCAGTCACCATTGTTATATACACCAAACAAAAGGTAAGCATCTATTGAAAACAAATAGTAAGAATTATTTGGCTTATTTATATAAGGCCCTTTTCCACAATCTTTTTTTGTATTAACCTATTCATTCTCCACAACAATCTCAAGGTAAAAAGCACTGTCTCCCATTTTACAAAAAAGGATTAATTTGTGTTTGGAACGTAGGTGTTCTGGCTCCAGTCTTACAGATATGCTGTGTAGCCTTTAAAACTACTAAAGCATTGTGTGTGCTTTCCAGTTAGCTTTGCCATAAGATTACTCTTCTGAGATTAGAAAGATTACACTGCTGAGACTTAATATGCTTGAACTGTCAGTGGCCTTCAGGTGCCCCTGTGTAACAAAGGTTAGGGAGCTCATTCATTTATGGGGTCTTTAAGTGGCACCTCTTCTATATGAGGCACCATTAGATGTTTTCAGCCACATAGTCTGACACCTGGTGAGCTTCCATTTGAGCCTTGTGGATTTAAAGGCAATCTAAAGAAAATCCCTGGAATTTTCAAGAATTCAAGCTACTTTTATAAAAGTGCAGAGCCTCATCTGGGCAGGGGCCTCCTCTCTCCTGTAGAGGTGATTTGAACACTGTGCTGGAGTGGCCACCCTCTCTGCCTGATAACAGCTGAGTTGGCTCACACACCACTAGTCCTCCCTTGCCTTCCCTCTAGCTCATTTCTTCATCTCACAGTCTAAGACCAAGAGGGTAGGTCCAGAGAAGCTGGGATCTGCTCTGCATTAATTCCCATGGGGTTTAAAGCGCAGTGACTAAGGAAAGGGGAAACTACTAAAGGACTGTGTAGTCAATGCATGTATAAGTAGTAAGTGCCACACACTTTCCTAAGTCTACATAGAAACTAAAGACGTCTAAGACGTTCCCTAAGTACACTTATCATAGCTGAGGTTAATAGGTTATGTACTTCTCCAGCATCACACAGTAGTGGGAAAACTAAAATGAAAATAGATAAAGATTTTGACTGCTGGGTCATATTTTTATTTTTTGCTACATTGTTTCTCAAAAAAAAAAATATCCTTGAGCAACTAATAGATACTCTACAGATAGTCTCAAGGGTTCATGACTTCAAGACAAGGGCCATGGTGGATACTGAACAGAGCACATGTCTGCTTAGTGCTAGTCCTACATTTGTTGAATTACGATGTTCAGAGAAGGGTAGGAATTGCCTTGGTTGAGAAAGAAATGAGAACCAGGAGTAATACTTATGTTGCTGGAGATCTATAAAGCAGTACATGAAAGCATCACTCGCTACCCCACAAATGAGGTGTTGGGGTCAGTTCTCATTCTTTAATCTTCCTGTCTGTACTTCCTTTTAAGAATATCAGTTTAGACTCAGTAATCGTTGACCTCCAGGATAACTCCTTGAGAGCAGAAGCAGCCATCAAGGATCATTCTTACCTTATACATATTGGTGAGTACCGCATTCTTATTCATGGGAACAGCTTGCTTCCTTTCACTATGGCAACAGCATGCTCTGCAGTCGAGAATGCTCTAATATGTTATTTGCTATGGCTGCTTTGGGTTGTCATTTCTGATCCTTTTACAGTTACTGTTTTCCTTCATGCTAATAAAACTGAAAGCATGATCCCCTTTCCAAGTTTAACCAATCAGAAGTCTACTGTGCTGTCCATTGCATGACACTTAAAGCAATCAGATGTGATCAGAATCCCTCATAAAAGTCTGTCATCCTTGACTTCTATAAATAAGTCCCTGGAAACCTTTGGTCACCATCTGAGCATTCCTTACTGGGATGCCCAGTCCTTGCCAGCTCTGCCACAGGAGGTCAAAGACAGAGAGCAAATCACCTAGACTGCAAGTTCATATAGTGTCCCTCAGTTGCCCATCTCCTCACAGACCAGCCTTATTGATTTTAGTCTGTCAGAAGCAACAAGTCAGCACTGAAGTCTAGAACCAAAGATACCAAATGTTGGATCTGTTTCTCACTTATAAGGAGTTTGAGTCTAGGATTTCATTGTTTTCTCTTCTTATGCCTATGACATATTTCTAGTTGGAAAATAGATATGACACACATAAAAATATCCCCAAACAATAGCAAATATATATTAGTGTTTTAAAATAAATTATTTTTGTGTATCAGTGCTTGATGTGTAAGTACCATGACATAACATCTATGGAGGTTAAAATTTTGTGGATTGGGTCTTCTTCTTTCTACCCTTACATGGGTTCCAAGAAAGGAACTCAGGTTGTCAGGCTTGCAAGCACTATTGCAGGATATCTGATCATACTGTGAACCCCAAGACTGAGTACTAGGAAAACCTGTTTCTGGTTGTAGTGTGGCTCAGCCTTAGCACACACTTTAATCCCAAACAATGAAGGTAAAGTTAGTTTGTAGTAGGAAGCACTTATATTTAAAAGCGATGTCTAATTGTGTGATAGACAAAGTGAAAAATCAAAGAAAGCTTTGACAGGATAGGATATGCTCAACTCTTGTGAGATGAAACCTATGTGAGGGAGCGGTGTGGGCTGGGGGTTGGGGGGAGGCAATTTCACTGGAAGAGTTTTACCGACAGGTCGAAGAGCGAAAACAAGCTAGACAAGGTGAAGACAGAATGAGCCAAAGAATGAAAAGGAGCAAGAAAATTAGAAAAGATTGCTAGAGTTAGTTTGAGGCCAAGCAGAGCAATTCAGTAGAAGCTGAGAGAAACCAGATTGGATCAGTCAGCATGGAGAAGAATTTTGACCCAGAATAGCTGAGTTGATCAGCCAGCCAGAGTCCAGAAAGAGCTAGAAAGCAAGTCTCAGGCTGAAAACATTCTAGGCCTAAATTAGATTGTACAGAGGCTAGAAGCTTCCAGAACTAGGCCTAGGTTAGCAGAATGAGGCAGTAAGCCTCAGAAACAAGAATTGCTACAGAAGAATAAAAGATACAGTTAGCAGAGCACCTTTACCCATTGAGCCATCTTACCAACTCCCAATTCCCACAACAATGCTTTAAAGATAACAATACCAACCAGCCAGAGCTCCCAGGGTCTAAACATAGGGAGGGACCCATGGCTCCAGTTGTATATGTAGGGGATGATGGCCTTATTGGGCGTAGGTGGGAAAAGAGGTCCTTGGTCCCATGAAGGCTGGATGTCCCAGTGTGGGAGAATTTGAGGGTGGGGAGGTGGGAGTGGGTGGGTAGATGGGGGCACGTCCTCATAGAAGCAGGAAGAGGAGATTTCGGGGGAGGATGGGGAAAGGGGATAACATCTGAAATGTAAATAAAATATCCAATAAAAAATGTAATTAAAAAAAAAACATGCCAGTTGGTTGAAGAAAATACAAGTTGAAATTCTCAACTCTCAGAAGTCTGCTCACTACTTTATTTTATTAATGAAGAGAAGTTCCTTTAATTCTGGATTCAGTCAGAATTTACTATTTTTTTTCTTTACCAACTCCCCATTCCCGATCCCAGCCTCATTCAGTAGATGAGTAACTTCAAACCTCTAAAGCAGGTGTTCTCAACCTATGTGTCAGAACCCCCACAGGGCTTGTAGATCAGATGTTTATTACATTATGATCATAACAGTAGCAAAAATACTGTTATGAGGAAGCAATGAAAATAATTTTGTTGTTGGGGGTCACCACAACATCAGGATCTGTATTAAAGGGTCACAGCATTAGGAAGGTTGAGAACCACTGTGTCTAAAGCTTTTTTTCTTGAAATCTGTCCTTCCCTATAGAATGCTTAGTTCTTCTCTTCATTGAAGTTTTTTAAGAGGTTTGGTTTTGTTTTTACTTATGTGTGTATGGCTCTTTGTATGTGTGTGGGTTCCTACAGAGGCTAGAAGATGGCATCAAATCCCCTAAAGATGGACTTACAAAGTGATTGTGAGCTGTCCAACCTGGGTCCTGGTAACCAAACTTGAGTCCTCTAGAGAAGCAGGGAGCATTCTTAAGCCATCTCTCCAACCCCTAATTCTTGTCTTTTTTTTACTAGCATACAGCCTATTTGCCTCTTATGAGAGAGATTAATTACACTAGAAAAGCTAGCCTTAGTCATTCGCACTTTAAGTGAAACCTCTGTGCCAGCATTTACTATTCTTTGTGTGTGTGTCTGTAGTCTTTATATGTGTGTATAGTCTTTATATGTATGTGTGTGTATTCTTTATACATATATAAAGAATAGTAAATTTTCTTTGTTCTCATTGTAGTCAAAAACCTATCTTGATTTTCATTCCAACTGAGTTGTAACTAGAGTTATCACCAAAGCAGTCCTGAGAGGAGTTCCCAAAACAAGTGTCTCCACACTGTCCTAAATGAGATTCTTCAGAAACAGAATTCCTAACCATCAAAGTCTTGTCTAGACACACATTAGGAAACTTAGTTCAGAGGCTGTACCACATCATGGGGTGACTGTTAAAGAATAGGATTTTGTTATGACTATAGTGGTGCAGAGGAGAAGTCAAATTGAGGAGCTCATATAAAGATTTGAGGAACTTGGCTCAGGGCTATAGCTGCTTTAAGATGTTTTGGCCCATAGGACAGCAGCATCTTTCAGAGTATTGAGACTATACATAAACTCTGATTGACTTCAAGACTACAAAGGAAAACATGTAGCTGGCTGGATTCCATGGCCATCAAGGTACTTTATATACTACAGGACAGATGAGGGTGGAGAAACTGGATTTGTATTGGAGGGAAGTCTCACTTGGACACATATAAAAAGCAAAAATTCCAGTAAAAAGTTATGTAATTTAACATATACATTCAAGCTAGAATTGAACTGGAAACATCTTTCCTGCTTTCTAGCTTCCAGAGTGCCAGAAATGTTATGCAGGCTGCTGAGGGAGAAAGGTAACAAGGGTTTTCCCTAGCAGTGAACTCTGTGAACTACAAGCTTCAACCTGGCAGGAAACAGTGGCATTGCTGTGATAGGGATAACCAACTTCTCCCTGATTGGATCAGGTCCACAGAAGGAACACCACACCTGGGGCTATAAAGCTGGCCCAAAATCACATATGTCATAGGCCTATGGCAGAAATTACTACCTATTTTAGCTAAGTAGATGTAAAGTCAAAGTGCCTTCTAGATATCTATGTTCATAATCTCACTTATGGGCTAATCTCACCTCGGACCAGAGAAGCTTCCATTCGTAGTGAATGGTGGTGAATACAGAGACACTTGGCTACCCAAGATGATAAGCGTAAGTGGCAGGTGCAGGATTAGCCCTAAAGAAGTCATTTTTATTATCCCTCCTAAGGCTCAGGGAACCCTGTGAAAGGGGGAACAGAAGAAATTCCATTCTCTAGTTGATATAACCCATGTAATTATGAACTCACAGCCACTGCAGTTACTTGGTTTGGACCTACTACACAACATGAGCCTTCTCAACAGTCATCCATGGGGATGGAGGTCAGAGAGAGGCCTGTGGGACCCTGTCCCTTGCTACTGAAGTATAGGTTTCTGATGGAGTCTGGGCAAGAGAGAGCCACTATCTTGAGTTGTGTGCACACTGGTGAACCCACCAGACTCCAGTGGATAGTTCCAATACAAAGACGACTATGTAGTCACACAGACGACTATGATCCAACCCAGAGAGACACAAACAAGACTTGAACGTGAGAAAGAGCTGAGTAAGGAGAGGACAGGTGGACAGGAAAGGAAGGAGAGGAAGAGAAGGTAAGGCTACAAGCAATCAGAGTACATTTATATATGTATGAAACTGTCAAAGAACAAAATTAATAAAAAGTAAGCAATGCCTGGATGCCAGTGCTATATTGCAAAGACTGAAACGCTGGAGAATTCAGATGCCAGATAATCATAGTGACACAATGAGATTTAGAGCAGAGTGGTAAAGCCACACCTTGCATTTTCCTTTTCTAGAATAGATGTTACTAAGTGCAAAGTCTGTCTCACGTTAACTTTATGTCCATAATACGTGGTAAGTGTTTGGTTGCTTATGGATTACCTACCCCTCCCCCCAAAATTGTTTAGGGGCACTGAATGGATGTTCAGCTTTAAGAGGCGGTGCAGCTAAATTGACTGCCTGACCTGTGTGAACAGGGCACAGACTGCATAATAGGGCCTGAATCCCAGGGTCGCATTCTCTCTCACTTCTTACTCTGTAGCATTGTCAGTCTGGAGAAAGTGAGTTACCAACTTGTCATGGTTAAATATTTACTCTTTAGTTAACAGAAAGAGATAAGGAAAAACGGAAGAACTTTAAGTAATTTGGAACATTCGTTTTCTTTTAGTCTCTCATTTTTCTAGTCCTGAGCATTTTGAAATAGTACATTAAAAATGATCTTACAGATATAAGACTAATTTTTGTGAATTGAATTTTAGTGGTAATGAAACCTTTTTTTTTTTTTTTAAATATAATCTCAGGACTAAGCCATGAAGTTCAAGAAAATATTTCTGGTAAGTACAAAAAAGCAAACAAATTATGCATATATAGATATAAATGTATAGATACACACAGACACACACAAACACTCATAGGAAGAATCCAGGCCTTTAGCTTATTTTTCTTACATATATTTATTTTCATGTCATAAAATACATTTATTTTAAAGTACACGTGGGTTTCTGTTTTTTCTTCTTTTCTTTTTCCTTGGTCTTCTTGTCTCTTTATTTTTTCCCCCTTTTCTCTCCCTTAAAAGTATTTTTGTCCCTTTTCTGTGGTTCTTTGCCCTGCTCCTCACAGGCAGTTCATAGGCACACAGACAGGAACACTTTCATAGAACCATGGTCAAGTGGATGCCGGGTTCACAGTGTGGAAGAACAGACAGCGAGCTGCTGAGCCGAAGCACAGTTGTGTGTTACAACTTTGAAAGCATGTTCACCTCATCAGACTTAAGTTAGGACCTACAAGTCCACGTTTATTATTGGCCCCACATGTGGAGTTGTTCTAGTCACTGAGAAAGGAAGAAGGGCATCTATAAGGTCTTCAGTGATCAGAGACTCCCATGGACTCTCATATACTTCCTAGGTGCTGATTCTTCTGAGTCTGTTCATATATTCTTAGGCTCAGTGTTGTTCTAAATTCACATATATAAACTTCTGAGCTTTAACTAAAAATATGAAAAGAGAATATTTAAAATTTGGTTTTGTGGCTCCATTCAGTGTGACATGTGTTTCAAGCTGTTGGCTAGGTCTGTGTCCATGACTGTATCTGTGCTCCTTTGAAAACCACACATAGATATCTGGCCTTGATAAATTAGTTTGAAAGAAGCCAGTCTGAATCTAAAATAAACTGGTTTAACATAAGATAAAATAAAAACCAATTTTACTAAGTGAACAAAATCTTATTTTTTATTAATTATCGACATCATTGTGTAATAGCAGCATACAGTGTGACTGTGTGAAAAAGGTTGGTTTGAAAAGAAAATCTCACATTTAATGTTAGTGAAACAAATGGAACTTCTCTTTGTTTCAGTACGGGTTATTGAAAATGTTGGAAAAATAGAGATTGTCCTACAAAAGAAAGAAAATGTTTCTTGGAAATGTCTTGGCGATCCCCTGGAGAAACATGGTTCCTTTATTCCAAAGAAAGATGCAGGTATGCTGTACTCTTGATCCTCATGTTTTCTTTTAAAGATTTTTGTTTGTTTGTTCATTCATTTGTGTGTGTGTGTGTGGGTGTGTGTTGTGAAATATACATACAATGGCCTGCATGTGAAAGGCAAGGGACAGTTTGCAGGAGCTGGTTCTCTTTGCCCTTAAGTTGTCAGGTTTGACTTCAAGAGCCTTTAGCCACTCAGCTACCCCAGTAGCCCATCTTTTTAAAGAATAACGGATAGGGTTCCAGTGGTTTCTTTTTTCCCCTCTGTGACCTGTCTGTCTCACAGTCTTGTTTGTCCTTTGTTTTGATGTTTCATTCCAGATGCTGTCTTTGATACTTCTGATTCTCAAGTGTCTGCTCATGTTTCAGCTGATTAACAGCTGTGCATGAAGGGTTGGACTTATTGCCAGAGTATTCCCTGTACAGTTGAGTGTTTTCTCTGAGGAGAAGTTTGATGCCAGAATTTGCGAGCCTCTAGAGGGAACAGTATTCTCTTTCTCTTGCACACTGTCTTTTGGAAACTTTGTGTACAAAGAAGCTGCAGTTCTCTAAATGTGACTTAGCCTTATCCTTCTCTTTCCACTGTTTTTGTTTTTCATTGTTTTCTTTTGTATTTCTTTTCTTTTTCTAGAATACTATTTTAGTTAGTTAAGATACTATAATGACTGCTAACCATGTGTTTTATCTTAATTGTGGGATTTTTAATTCCATCCATAGAATTAGCAGGATTAGATACTTCTGAGGCCTCTCTCCTTGGCCTGTGTGACCATCCTTGTGTCTATGTGTATCTTAGCTTTTCTCTTCTTCAAAGAGCAGCACTCCTACTGGAAAGGGACACCTATTGCCCTTACCGTAATTTAAGTACTTTTAAAAGACTCTATCTCCAAATGCAGTTATCTTACAAGTAGTGGGTGTTATACTCGAATTGCTCTAAGTGAGAGGACACAGTTTGGTCTAGAGTTTGCCGAACTCACAGACCCTGTGCAGCTTCTCTAAAGAGCTAGTGTGTGCGGTCTTCTTCAGATTTGAGAGGGCCCATTGCATGGTTTGCTAAGTAGTAGAGAGCTTATGTGGGGTGGCAGAGCATCTGAGTTTCTTAAACACACTTAGCCAGAAACTTTCATTCTTCCTTGACTCTAATGTTAGAGGTGACAGGTTCTGCTAGCCTGGAGGTATTAAAGGGGTTTTCTATTTAAAAAGTACCAGTCTAGGGGGAGGGGGGCTGGAGAGATGGCTCAGTGGTTAGGAGCACTGATTGCTCTTCCAGAGGTCCTGAGTTCAATTCTCAACAACCACATAGTAGCTCACAACCATCTTTAATGGGATCCAATCCCCTCTTCTAGTGTATCTAAAAACACCTACAGTGTATTCATATATACAAAATAAATAAATAATTTTTTTTTAAGTGCCAGTCTGTTGCTGCTCAGATTTCTGGCTTAGGATTCCACTTTCTCAGATCTGCTTAGTCAGTCATCTGCTTGCCTCATGGGTTCCCAGCATTTATTATTTTTATCTCTCCTATTCTGTCCTTGTAGATTTTTGCCATAAACAATCAAGCATACGTGTATGGCCTATTGCAGCTGTTCAGTGGGTTCATATGGTAGCTCCTTGTATTCAGCTAACCATCTTTTAATATTTGAAGTTATTGCAAGCTATGGAAGGTCAAATTAAGTTTTCTACTCTAATGGTCCAATATAGAACACTTCTCTGATCATTAAAAATATGTGGGAATTTCTCCTCACCAACAACCACTTACCTAGTGACACCAACTGGGTAGACTGTAGTCTAGGTCTATTCTGGTACTACGTGAAGCTGATGCAGGCCCCACTGTTTAAGGGCTCTGTCCCACAAAGCCCTCCCAAACTACAGGTGCCTATTGTAGATCCCAGGTTCTGTACCTTTAACAAACTGACATCAGAGTTTTCATTTACCTCACCTTGGATTTAAAAAAAAAAAAAGTGCCAGAGTGAGTCACAGAATTCAGACAAGCATTTATATTCATGTGTTTATTTTAAAGGCTACAGAGGCTTGTAAGAAGAGCTGTGGAGCTTCTATGCCTTCTATAGCTCTGCTCCCAATCTCCAGGCGCCTATATGTGCCCAGCATTCTTTTTAGGGTTTCTGAGCTCTCTCTTAGAGTGTTCCTGTAGAGACTTCATTACATAAGCATGATCTACTATGTCATTGGCCATTGTTGATCAGTTCAGCATTCAGTCACCTGTCCAGAGTCAGTACAGAATCTATAAAGAGTCACCTTTTTGGAACAAAAGGTTCTATCTTGCAGGACATTCCAAGCAATTTGGAGTTGTATTTCAGATATACCTATCACTAGAAAGTTACAAAGACTTCCAGAACTAGAGTTGGACTCCAACTTCTTATGGTTCTTCTTATGGCTGTAGGGGCTCCGTGTCAGAAAATGGAGGCAAAGGCCAGTGTCTTTTTATTAGTAGTATTTTATTTATCAGTTATAAACATACATTTGTAAGTAATTTGTGTTTGTATCAGACATCCTGATTTTGAATGATGTCATGTGTTGAAGGCTGATATAGCCACTATGCTATGAAACAGAAACTATATTCCAAGGAAGGAACAAGAACATATACAAGAATAAGATAAAATAAACTCTTATGAGGAAATAAGCCAACAAGGATGAGTTATGTAGTCCAAACACAGCACATTTGAAGGGAGCCTCAAGTGAACAGACAAATGAATTTGATCTTAAATGACTACCTGAGAAAGGTAGACTTAAGTGTTTTGACAGCAGGAGCTTTCACAAAAGCAACAATCTTCAAAGGACATTTGATGGGGAGCTGTACATCATCACTGGCTGTTCTGTACCGGTTATAGAGGAAACAAAATGTGGGCAGTGTTTGGGGACATTTAAACCATTTGATTTTGCCCTAGCTGGAGGTGTGGTGTGACCTTGTGTTATAAGGCAGGAAGAGAGCATGACATGATGGCACGGTCTGATCCCGGCAACCAGCCAAGACTAGGGTCAGTCACTGCACAGGAAAAGAGCTACTAACAAACAGGGTGAAGCCTGTTTCCCAGGATTATCTGGCTACCTAGGGATTGAAATGGCCTAGCCAGCCAGATACAAGCCTAGTCAAAATCAGTGATACTGAAAACCAAGACTGGCCTCTGGAGATGAATGGCTGTCATTGAACTGTTTTTCCTGTAATTTCCTGAGGCGTTCTGTGAGCTCTTTTATCCCTGCTATAAGTTTTAGTCCTGAGCCACCATTTTAAAAAGAAAGCTTCAATTTTTTTTTAAAAAAAAAAAAAGGAAGAAAGAAAAAAAGAAGGAGAGAGAGAAGGAGGAAAGGAAGGAAGGAAGGAAGGAAGGAAGGAAGGAAGGAAGGAAGGAAGGAAGGAAGCAGAGAAAGGAGAGGAAAATCAGGCAGGAAAACTTCAGCCATGTTGTTGCATGACACTGGAGCTGGGTGAGGTGCCCAGCAGATTTACTGCTTTGGGAATAGCTCAGTGCTTAGGTGACCATTTTCTTTGACAAATGAGCAAAGACAGTTTCTGCTTTTGCCTTTCCCTTCCTTAAATCATGATCTAAATCATAGTGGAGCTGAATTCTTATCTTATGAATGTGTTACTGACGTTGCTGTCAGTCCACCTTGCATTTACAAGGCAACCACTATATGGTTCCTAGGTTTTTGTTATGTATTAATTAAAATTTCTGACTTTTATGATTAGTATGTTTCTTAGGTAAAAGAATTTTAGTCTGAAAACAATCATGTAAGTTAAAAATCTATAGTACAATGTGTTCTCATGTCAAATCTTTATGGCCATCAAGATTCAGATGTAATCAAACACATGAATCAGAGAAGGAAATATATTCCATTATTTACCTTTACTCCAATGCAGTTGTTAATAGTTGACTGCATTTTCTTCCCCAGAATGAAGATTATGAATGAGTGGTTGTATGTATGTGTATGTATATGTATGTGAACATATACATGGACACTTGAACAATTTCATTTACATATTCTCAAGTTTTATTTGCTTTTTCCTGTAATAAAGATCTGTCAATTAACAACCCATAAAATTGGTATTGAGCAAAAATATTTTTAATCATGTCATAATTTTGATATGTCAACAGCAATGTGAGCCTTTAGATTAACCTATACATGTGTGCATGTGTGTGTGCATGTATGCACAAAGACACATACCTTAAATTCAGGTTGAACCATATGAAATTGCTGATATTTTCATATAGTTGTATGCTGATATTTTCATAAAGTTCATATAGTTTCAACAAGGTTTCTTAATGACTGACTCATGTGTGTGCCATGGAGTGTACACCTGTAAAGATGCTTGCTAGAACATGGTGAGCAGTCATTTCTCTCAGGCCTGGACCCTGTACTTCTGCCAGCCCCTGTCTAATCATCTATGTTTTTCTACCACCTTGAAAAACATTCATACTTGCTAGAAATTAATAAATTCTGTGATACGTTTCACCATGTTTTACTGTCTTGAGTTATCTGCTCAGTTTAGCTGGTGAAAGCTATTCTTTGCAAGGTTACTTGGATATGCTTTTGTATCTTGATAGCCTGTTTTCCTTTCTATGAGAATTGTCTGAATATGAAATCAGCATAATTCAAATTGATGAGGCATTGTATAAGTTAGAAATGTGTTAAGTTGTTACAGTGTGAAACAAGATTAAACAGTTAGAACTGAGAGGACTTAAGCACTTTAGTAAAGCGGTGTTGGCATAGAAGGGCATAGAAGGACTCAGATTCGTGACAGTCTTATTACAGAGTTCTGCTTCTGAGGTTCTGTTAAATTGGGGCCATCCAGAAAGCCCCACCCACCCACCCCATAATTTAAGGCCAAGTATTTAAATATAAAGCCGTAACTGAAGAAATCAGTTCTCATCCATCCATTTGCTGAAGTAAAACATTTTAGTAGGCTTTAGGAATATTTTTTGAAGACCTCATTTGTCACTGCCATTTAGAAAACTAGACAGGTATATTTTTTAAACAATACTAGTTAAAACAAAGAGGACTCAATTTAATAATGCCAATTTTCAAATCATGTATGAAAAATTTCACTCTTGAACATTCTTTTTTATCATATTTTACTCCATGTGTTAATTGGTATGTGCCTATAACACTTGTCATTCTTTGTGCTTAAAAATGCATTGTGATTAGATTCTTATCGTATATAAGAGATTTGATGTAATGTACTGACACTATACTACTACAAGAAGTTAAATGAAGCCTTTTCAAAATTAGTAGAAAGGCTGAATAATTAACAGCAGAATATATTCAGTAATTTAATTTCTGTTAAAGTGTATATAAAGACTTCAATCTTTAGTTCTTCAGTATGCAATAACATGCTAACGATTTTGTGAAAGAGTTATTTTATCAGTCTCCAAATTCTAATAAGCATTCATGACATGTTAATAGTTTGTTCTCATATGTTCATGCTCTATGCCCTGGAGTCAGGCTCACTTCTCATTGTTCACTTCCTTAGACACAGAGTAGAAGGTGAAGCTGGCCTAACCACTGCTATAGAATGGGACAAGTTCTAATAAGAGTGTCTTGTGCTGCATACCATAGCACATGGGTGTTTGGGGCATGGACATTTAGGTATTTCTATGTTTAGGTATTTCTATCTGAATATTTTTTTAAATAGTTTGTGTTAGTATATTTTGAGTTATTTTCTAAAAACTTCATTTTTAAATGTATAACAATTGGAAGTCTTACATTGGTTGAAGTTCTTGTGAGGAATGAATGATCAAAGATTATAAATTAGGATATGAGAAAGTAGGTAACTGAACAAGAATGCTTTGGGACAGTGTAGTCAGAGTAGGATGAAGTCACAGATTGGAGGACAATCTGTAAATCTGTACCTGTTATACTTGGGAAGACACTAAGAACCATCTGCTCTGGTCGCAAGCATCTTGCAAAGGCCTGTCAGATTGGGATAGCTAGTAACTTCATGTTCCATCTCATGTCTCCCATTTTTGCCAGCTTCCTTGTGACTTTAGGCAAACTTTTAAACTTATATAAGGCTCTGTTCCCACCAAAGAAAATAAGATTGGCCTAGCCATTTAAAAGTTTGTTAGAGGTAAGAAGCTGGCCTTGACTGAGGTAGTACAGACCCTTAGTACAAAGTTGCTTCTGTTTGTCCTCTATTGAAGACTTGCTAGTGTCTTCTGTTTTAGCTTTGTGAAATCCTATTTTTAAGAATGTAAAATATAACTTAATTTCAATGCTAGACAAAAAAATCTTTAGTTATCATCTTATTTTTAGTATTTTAGTGTTACCTTGAGTATGCCAACATTATATGTATTTTATAAAAAGAGGCTAGGTACTTGGAACAGAAGCTTTTGTCTTACCATCTTATATTAGTTTCAGCTGCACATTTCTCTTTTTTATTGGATATTTTATTTATTTACAATACAGATTTCATCCCCTTTCCCCATTTCCCCTCCCTAGGACCCCCTGTCCCATCCCCCCTCCTCTTTTATGCTTTTATACCATTTTGATTACATGCATATATTAAGGTCAGGTCTAGGTTGAGGGTCTAACAATACAATAGATGCAAATAATCAAGGAACAAGCAATACAATAAACACAAATAATCAAAGAAAAATCAAGGCATTGCATCCAATTACATGAACACTCCTGTGATCACTGTTTCTAAGAGCTTATCAGGATGACCAAAGTATCTCAGCCTACTTCCCTGTCCTAGCCCAAGGTCATTTTCATGTCTGAAGCCTACTTCCTTGTTCTAGCCTAAAATTTAGATTCCTGTCTGAAATTACTTCTTTGTTATAACCTAATATTTAGGTTCCTGCCTGAGATTACTTCTTTGTTCTAGCCTAAGATTTAGATTCCTACCTAAAATTGCTTCTTTGTTCTAACCTAATGTCAGATTCCTGCATGAAGCCTACTTCCTTATCCTTGGCCAATGTCATATTCCTGCCAAGCAGCCTATTTCCTTGTCCTTGGCCCATGTCAGATTCTTGCCAAGCAGCCCCAAAGGCTCTCCACCTCTCTCCCTTTTTTATTTCATTAACAAGACTGAGCCTGTCTTAGGTCATTCTGACAAGAATATCTTCCTTACTTATCATGGAATATGCATTATCAAAAGCAATGCACTTCTGTCTTAGGTTGGTAAGGCTTTGTGCAGAATCTTTTCCGTCCTTGGCTTGCCAGCCTGTTAATTTAATAACTCTGTCTGGGGGTCAGCTGCACATTTCTTAAGTCATCATCTATTCTTATGAAGCCAAGAGCTTGACAGGTGAGAAACGCTGTTGCCCCACAGACGTAATTTGTACCATTTGCTCTACACTGCATCTCACTGCTCCACAGCTCTACTCTCTTCATCCTGTCTGGCCAGCCCCACAGGACTACTGCAAGATGAACTCTTAATTTCTTTTTTAAGTTGTAGAACCTGTATTCAGGAAGTTCATGTGAAACTATGCCTCTTGTTTGTAGGTTAAATGGTGAGATTGTCTCAGTAATGTTGAATGGCAAGAACACTGTATCCATGTTGTTCACATGGAAGTCTGTAAGTCACAGTAACCCACATTCCCTTGTAGGTTCCATACAGTTGAAGAAAGGTATACTTACTACAACAAATCCATGTGGGCAGTGTAGAAACTGGCAAGTCAAAGATGAATAGTTTTCATCAAACACTGTAGCTCTTAGACCTGGGCAAGAAAAGAAGTCACCTGCTCAGGGGTTCCACACTTGGGGAGCCCATAGAGCTGTCTTCCATTTAATCATACCATTCCCACATAGCAGGAATGGACAAGGCTAAGGTGTTGGTATCTAGACTTTGTCTTCTTTTCTTCAACACTATTCTCCCAGGATCTGAAACCTCAACATTGTCTGCCCAATGGTCCCAAATCCGGTTGTATCCAAAAAGTACCTAGGACTGTTGATGAAAGAACTTGGATGAGCTTGAACATACAAGTTCATTCATACATCTCTGTGTAAACCTGCTTGGTGAAAGGTGAAGATGAAGAAAGAAAAGAGGGCAGACTTGGGCTGTAGACCTCAGGTATCTCACTGTATCATGCTCTTCTGAGGAGCTAAAGAATGCTGACCTGGAGCCCAGTGGACTTTATGAAGTCATATGTTTTCAAGATTTAACACAGAACTATTACATGTGACAGTTTTTGTCTGATGTATTATTTTTGACTATTTAGACATACAGCATCTGAACCTTTGGTTCTATTCTCTATTTGGGGTCAAGAAAGGTCTAGAGCAGTGGCTTTCAACCTTCTTAATGCTATGACCTTTTAACACAGCTCCTTATGTTATGGTGGCCCCCCCAAACATAAAATTATTTTCTTTGCTACTTCATAACTAATTTCACTACCATTATGAATTGTATGAATAACTGTGTTTTCTGATCATCTTAAGTGGCTCTTATGAAGAAAGGGTCTTTCCAACCTCAAAGAGGTTGATACCCATAGGTTGAGAGCCACTGGTCTAGAGAAAGGGATAAAGAGACAGTTTGAACTTTCATTTTACCTGTTGGTGAGCTTTGTCATTTGAAACTGTCATTAGTCCAGAACTAGTTAGGCCTTCCAGGATGACTTTAGAGTAATATTCCTAGCTGTAACCAGACCCAAGCATATTTCCTGGTGCTACAGTTAGGTGACTGTACACATGCGTACCTCCTGAGTTACCAGGATAACAGGTAGAAAGATTGGAGGACAGGGACTTTGGGAGCCACAGGAAAATAAGAACTTGATTTAATTGTGGACAAAATTAGTTCTGAAAGTTGTTTATGAATTCTAGTTTTCTATTAACCATTGATTGTTGGCTTGGTGGCTTTCACTTCCTATAATCTGGAGTAAATCTTTTCATACCAAGTTAAATACTATTAGATGAGAGAGAGGGAAAGAGAGAAAATAATAATCAGGATGAGTATGTTACTAATCAGTTCTATTTCTGTAAACACCGTTTTCTGGGAGAGGAGATAAATGATGGTCAGTCTTTAGGGGTAAACTCTTTATAGTCAGAAGAGAATTTATAAGTGACAGTGCTTTTAGAATTCCTATAACAAGTCTTTCATATTAATTGTTTTATGCAGTATAAAGTATTTTAGAAACATGGCTATTAAAATATTTTCAGTATTTATAGAAATACTTGATTTATTTTACTGAAATCAGTGTATGCCATAAACCTATTGCCTTCAGCTGTTACTTCATAAAAACTTATATTTTGTTTAATAATTTAGATAGTTAAGATGTTTTCAGATGCATGTACAATTTATATATATAAGCATAGACATGATACATATTTTTCTTTCTTTTATCAGAGTGTGTTGCTAAGCCTGTTTAACAGTGATAATATTGTTAAATTCCAAGTACTCAGCTTTCAAAACTTTTTCAATGGAAAAGAAAAACTTTACAATGTTTATCAAATATTTTTCACATGTAAGATTAATACTATTGTAACTATAAAGCCTAAAATAGTTACCTACAAAGTAAATTTAAGAAGAAATTGGATGTTAGTGTCTTGAGACTGTTTTTAAACAGGTTTGAAGAAATAATACTCATTTTGTTAATTTATAATACTATTAATTTTTTCAAATTATAGATGTGTTTGTATGTTTATAAAATATCTTAGAAAATGAAATAGAAAGTAGCCTTGTAAAATTAATGAGTTTTAGAATTGTTAGGCATTTTAGTGAAGTTGAAGTTCTAAAAGAGCAGAGACAGAACTTTCTGTGGGCTTTCCACTTAGTGACCTTCTTGCACTGCCTTCCAGGCTTATACTACAGACGGTGCCAGTTAATTTCCAAGGAAGATGTTACTCATGATACAAGGCTTTTCTGTCTGATGCTGCCTCCAAGTACTCACCTTCAGGTGCCAGTTGGGCAACATGTTTACCTCAAGCTCAGTGTCACAGGTAAGGGGAATGGAAGCTCAGGTGGGGTTAGGCAGTTCTGGCCATTCTGGGCACCTGGCTTTAATGTCAGGAAGCTTCTGGGTTTATGGATGTGAGTAAATGTCGGACTGTCTGTGCTGCTGGACACATGGAGCAGCTTGCCTCAGGTGGAAAGGAGGGAGTATCACAGAGAGTTGACTAGAAATAGACATGGGCCATTGGTATCTCCTAGGGGCTGCCACCATTTGTGAGATTGAACCAGTAAGATTCAGAATGAGTGTGTAACAGTACTTAGTTTCCTTTTGTATGTTACTAGTACACAAAGCTCAAAACTATGTTTCTTACTGTGTGAGTGCATTTTCCCCCTTATTTCATCCTAAATTTCATCTACTTGTTTAAATTGCACTGTTCTTACTGATAGCCACCGTTTTCTTGGGCTCGTGAAGCTGCAGAATCCTTACCTCGGCCTGTGTTGCAGTGCTCCATCTTGTAGACTCCCTTCTGAGGTTTGGTAGAGGTGGTGTTCTGCGAGAGCTCTGTAGTTATTTCTCTTCATCCTCACTGACACCAGACTGCTGTGCATGAGCTGTCTTCCTTAGCATAATTTTTAACCAATAAGTTTTAGGTTCCATATAATTAGACCCATGTCTAAAATTTTGGTCTTTCAAATATTTGGTGACTTTTTCCCTCTGGAATCTGGTAAAATTTGTACCACGTACTTTCATTTTGCTTTTAAAAAATAATCGCATCCCATGAGATAATAAGATTATTGTTACTTTCATTCTGCTGCCAAAATAATAATTTTAGAACATTAAAACAATTCAAAATATATAAAATTAAAGGTGAGATGTCTCCTTTCTTTCCCTAGTGATTGCATTGGTAACCACTTACTCTTGCTAAATAGAATTGGAATTTTCTGTCTTTTTTATTACATTTCCATGGCAAAATTTTGGTGTCACTTTATTATAGCCCATTACAAAGCTCATATGCTTATCTAGATTCATACTTAATAAATAATAAAAAAGACTGTATATAATGGTTAACCATTGGTTTGTTAAAATTATAGTCTTGAGATATATGTAAATGTAAATAAAACATGGCTGTGGACCATCTCATTAGAGGTGTGTGCACATTAGTTTTGTGCGTACACTGATAGCATCCTAAGATTTGTATTTTTATCTTTATTAAGAGCTTTTAAATGCTATACTTTTCTTTGTTTTGATCTTTTTTTCCAGGTGCAGAAATAGTTAAGCCATATACACCCGTGTCTGATTCCTTACTCTCAGATTTTAAAGAACCAGTTCTTTCCCCAAATAAATACATCTACTTTTTGATCAAAATCTATCCTGCTGGACTCCTCACACCAGAGCTTGATCGTCTTCAGATTGGTTAGTAATGTTGCATTTGTAGCCTTGTTTGTGCTATAGATTGGATAGAGACCCTCTCTTATCTCCATGTGGGAGTCTACTGAGGATGTCAACAGCGGAAGTCATCCTCTCTTTGTCTTGTGCTCCACATCCTCCATCTTCATCATCTGCAGCATCTCTGTTCATCTCGGCCCTTCTCTGGAGACTTGCTCATTCCCTGAATCCAGTCAGCCACGTTTGATGTCATCTTTCCTCCCATCCCCTAAAAGCAAGCCTTCTACCTTTCTGTTTTGCCCTCTAACCAGTCTCTCACATATGGCTCTTACTGGTGTCTTTCTCTTCGTCTGCAATTTCCAGTAACTTCTCCAAGCTTCTCTGAAGATAGACTTACTTTTGCTGACGCCTCTGGCAGATCTGCTTTAGCTGTGCTGACCACTTCCCCGACAAGGCTTACAAGGACCTGATGGGCTCTCTAGCTTTGTGCTCCTTGAAACCCCAGTTTGTTATCCTCAATCTTAGGTTCATATCGGAGCCTCATCTAGAATGCCTGTCAGCCCTTCCTTTGCTATATTCCTTCCTATAAAGACTCAATGAAATGGCACTTCAATTATGAAGCCCCCTTCTCCCTGAATCACTTCATAACAGTTACTTGTGCTCTGTGATAAGGGTTATAAGCACACAGCTTGTTTGTAAGACTGGCAGTTACAGGTAGAAGCTGTATTGTTTGCCTTATTTCTAGGACCTAGCATGACAGTTGACACATACTAGGCTATCATGAAATGGACCTTGAAAGACTGGGTAACACATTATAATGTCTCTGAAGATTCAAAAACTGTCCTTTTTGTTTCTAATCCTTTCTCTATGTTTTCTCATTTTCTCCATCTCATTTTGATTTTTTTTTCCTCTCTTAATGGCAGAAATGTCCTTCCTCTATCTGTATCAGTATCAGCTCACACTGGGCAACAGGGTGGCTTCTCACTGAAGTCTTTATATTACTTCTGAAAGTTGACTCAGACATCCACCTAAAGTATGATTGTCCCTTTAACTACCATTACTCTCCTGTTGTGAAAAACATAGGAAATTATAAGCACCCAAACATATTACAATATAGTATTTGAAATAACTTTAAAATAATGAACAGGTTTAGCTTTTTATTTTTCAAGTTACATTGGAGATTTCTGAATGTAGCTCTGGTGGCAGTGTTTTTATGAGAGAGGTATGTACTCTCTGTCATCCAGTCACCACAGAAATTGGGCACTCATTTTACAACTGCCCAAGTACAGCTGGTCTCTGATCTTGCTGTTTTTCTAGGAATTAAACTCACAATGGCTCATCTTGTTTCAGTTGGTCTGTCTTTTCAATTATTACTAGAGAAGTTTATGATACTTCCCAGTGTAAGGCTTTAGAATACATTTGTTTCGAATTTCTCTCCTGCTAAGCTTGACCCTGTGTTTACTAACCAGTGTATAAATAGCAAATATCTATTCTCTAGTGACCTTGTATTAATTACTCATCAATCTGGCATAGTTTGGTATCTGATGACTGCCTCTGCAGCTCTTGTCCTACTGCAGAGATGGATGTGGCAGTCACAGGTCTACCCTGTCGCTCCCAGTGCTCTGTCCCTATTTCCCTTCTAGGTTTCTTGTTTCATTTGTTTTTTGATTTTGTTTATTTTGTTTATTTCTTTAGGAGATTTTATTTCTGTAAGTGGTCCTGAGGGCAGTTTTAAAGTATCCAAACTCCAGGAAGTAGAAGATCTTTTTTTATTGGCAGCGGGAACAGGCTTCACACCAATGGTTACTGTACTGAATTATGCTTTAACTCACATAGCCTGTCTCAGGTATGTTCCCTTGTTTCTGGCTACTGTTATTTGGGAGGTTTTGAGTGCAAGGCATCCATCATACATGAGCTGCTCACTGAGGTTGAATGGCCTCCTAGTGTTGCCCAGCTGATGGCCTGCCATTCTGTCTCCTCCTCACCTACTCAGGATTTAGTGCTTCGCTCTCCTTTCATGCTTTCATAATTTGCATCACCTAAAAGCATTCACCAGGTTCACTTCGAACATTGCCACTTGTGCATATTTTAAATGTCATAGTGACTAACATAATATGAGCTTTCCTTTTTTTTCCTTTTAAGGAAGGTGAAGTTGATGTTCTTCAATAAAACAGAGGACGATATAATTTGGAGATGTCAGCTAGAGAAATTGGCATTAAAAGATAAAAGGTATTGCACCTGTTAATTCAAATTTAAGTGTTTGTACATAGTGTAATGAGGATAGCTGAAGCACAGTTGAATGTTGTGGCATTTCTCAGGTCTTCTAGTAATCCCTACCTGTGCGCTCTCCAGGAGAAGTATGTCTCACATTGTTCAGCAGACTGGCTTCATTTTTAGTTGATTGAATTAATGCATATTGATAGCCCTATCGCTGGTTTTCTTCTTATGCTGGTATTATCAATAGAAAACAAATCTTTTGAACATGAACTCAGGGAGAAAGAGTAGCACAGCAAGAGCCTATGTCATTAAAAAGAACATCAGTGAGCAGTCAGCTGAAAGCAGTACATATTTAAGAATATTGAGCTAGAAGGGTTACCATATTTTCTAGAACATTTCTGTAGTTGTCTATTTCTAAGATTGCCAGGACTTTCTAAGTTGCATAGAATATATGAGGTGATTACTTATGTTCATATAGTCTCATCAAAATAAAATTTCCAGTCCTTGAAAAGCCAGAACACCCTTAGATGCCACAGTTCCTAAGGTCTTGCACATGGGTCCTGACTGTCAGTAATAAAGGGCTCTTTCCTCTGCTCTCTGTTACTTCCCACATCCTGCCTCCTTCAATGAGTGGCTCATAAGTCAAGGCTGTGACCTGAGCATGCTTACCCTTGAAGCACTACTGTTCTTAACCTGGCTAAAGCCTCCACTTGGGCATATTTATTCTGCTGAGGCAGCTGAGAATGAGTTCAAGAAATACAGATGGCCTAGTTCCAAGCGTTCACAGTGTAGAACAAACCCTAGTTCCCATATCTGTTGGGGTAAATCTCCAACCCAAATAGGACCGATCAAAGAAAAAAAACTCAATAATTATGAATACAAACTGCACGCCTAAATTGGGCAGATTTACCACTACCCTATTTTATTCTCCATCTATGAGATACCTTATAACTTGTGGTTTTTCCATTCCCTTCTCCATTGTCCTTCTACCTCTTTCCCCTCCAGTGGTATCCCACCATCTCCTCTCCAGTTGTCTCCTCCCCTTCCTCTCTTTCTCTCCCAGCTCCGCCTCCTCTTCTACTGCCTAATTGTGAATACAGTGTAGCAGAATAAGTATCCTGCTACACATGTCTCTAGCTTTAATGATTGAGTAAGAGCCCTGTGGCTGTTGCAGAGGACTTTTCCATAATTCTGGTTCCAGGGTATCTAGTCTCCTCTTCTGACCTTCACAGGCACCAGACATACACATGATGGATACATGTGCACACAGGCAAAACACTCAGTTATAGAAAATAAGAATAAATCTTAATTTTTTAATTAAAAAAGGCTTGTTGCTTGGACTCTTCTTTAAAAATTGCTTACTTTCATGGGTTCAAAGTCAAACAGTGGTGCTTTACTAAACAGCTGGAAGGTTTGGGGAAGACCATGGAAATGCTTTGGGAACTGGGAAGCTGTCTCTGTGGTGTTTAGAATGGGTTAGAGGCCCTCCGAAGGAGAGAATGGTTTGCCTTATTAGAGCTCCTATTTCACAAACATTTAAAGATTTCTAAACAGATATGGGTAGGTGCAGTGACAATATTAGAGCTTAATATTAAGCTCTAATCAATTAATTAAAGACACCATTAATTAATTAATTAATATTAAGATCTAATTAATTAATTAAAGACACCAATCTTTAAAACAGAAATATAAGAATATGGTTTCATTTTAATCCCAGATATAAGATATGGGGCTGCTTCAGATTGTCCACAGTAGCTGACTATGATTTACCTCTTTCTGGTTTTGTCAACTGCAGATAGTTTCTGCAATTGTGTGATATTTAGAATTCTGGGGACTTTTCAGAGGGTAGATAACTGCTAGGGCCTCAAAGGTGGGGTGAGTTTTTGATTGTGGTTTGTTAAGTAGTCATGCTTAAAGAAGAAACAACAAGAAGAAATTAGATATCCTGATGGTGAAAATCAAACTTGTCCCAAGGGAACTCAATGCCCCTAATCAGCAGGAAATAGTCTAATGATAATGCCACCCCGTTTCCAACCCTGACTTTATTCAGGGACTCTTTCCTTTCCTCTCTATCCTTTTCTCTCTCTTATCTAGTGTTAAGGGGTTAAATGAGTGGAGGAAAAAGAACTCACAAAGTACCAAAAGACTGGTTACAGGTAGGCGTTAAAATTAAATGTTTCTAGTAAATTTTGGCAGAAGTATTAAATTCCTTAAAGAGAAATTTTATAAAATTTAAGAGATTCATTTCAATGATTAGGCACTAACTTAGTCTGTTAATAGGAGTTAATTTTGATCAGCTGTTATGAAGGAACATTGTACCTGTGCACATGAAGTGCCTTTCTTTTTAGTTTGGTCTTCATGATTGGGTTGTTGGTTGCCTAGACTACAGTACTAAGGATTTGATTTTTTTTTCCTGTCATAACTACTGAGCAGTTGAATGATCCTCACAATTTGCCCAGAACAGTGCTGTTAATAGCAGGTGTGCCGTTTTGACCACCTCTGTCCCTCTCCTGCCTGTCTGTACTCCTCTTGCCCAAGGTGCTCATTCTCCAAGGCTTCAGCTTCCTCTGAAATATGACCTTTGCATCCATCCCATCTCATTCATATTCTTTCTCTCTCTCTCCCTCTCTCCCTCTCTCTCTCTCTCTCTCTCTCTCTTTCTCTCTCTCCCGTGTGTGTGTGTGTGTGTGTGTGTGTGTCTGTGTGTGTGTGTGTGTGTGTGTGTGTGTGTGTGTGTGTGTGTACTGACTTCCAACAGTGTTTTAGGATCTCCAAGGACTTGGTCTTTTATAAACATGTGGTCAGGTCAAGCCCTCCCTATGATCACAGTCTGTAGTTGGATGTGGGACATTTTGTCAGCAGTTTTCCTATAGTCTGAGACTTTCCATACAAATAGAAGACCCCTCATCCTCAGGGCTTCTGGATGGGCCTGGGTGATAATATCCTATATAGAAAGTGGGAATTCAGATCCAGTCTAATGAGTGTCTGTTACACATTCCCATGGTGCCATTTCCCTGCATTAGTTGTATTAGTCAGGAAGTTTTGGAGGCCAAATGTATTCCCTGAACAGGTCCCTTTGTTTAAATTATTGTTGCATTGTGAAAACTTTAAATTTCTGATACTGAATAGTTTAAACAGTTAAACATCCTGTAGAATTAAGTTTCCATTCAGTCTTCTGTGAGACAAGGAAGAATGGGAAGGCTGGATACTGGGGAAGGCTGGTATGGGGTCTAATAGTGTCCTCTTCAGGGGACATGCTCTTGTGCTCAGGGTTTCTCTGGATGGTATCACTAATGAAGAAAGGAACACTTGATCACCTTGTGACCTCTTGCAAGTTACTCAGTCAACCAGGATTTCAGTTTTTCTATCTATAGAACAGAGGTTTACTATCCACAGCAGTAGGTGTGGCCTTGAGATGCCTTCCCTAGAATGATCCTGTTTTACTCAGTGTGTATTTGTGAACATCTCTCTGCTACATGCCTATACCAGGTCACACCTCAACAGGGCATTGTATGAGCTGGTTTTCTCATGCAGTCTAAAAAATAAGCCTCTTTACTTTCTGTCACTTAGAATTTCTCTTTTCTATTTGAATCCAGTTTTCATGCTAAGAATGAGATTTGAACAAAAATTACATTATCTTACCTGGATGCTAGATGTGTGATTTCACCTAATTAAAAGCTCAAAAAATAGGGATTTAGTTAATAGCATTCTGAACCTTGCACACACCTGGCGCCCCCCCCCCCCCCCGGGTCTGAAAAAAATGAGAACAACAGTAGGCAAATAACTCAAGTAAACTAGCTGATTACTGTGTAGAAAGGTTGAATTTTGCTGTTAATCCGGTATGTATCATGGTGAACTATGCTGTAGCATGGCCCCACCCCGCCCTCCCCATCACCCCGCCCTCCCCATCAGTAGCAGTGGCTCTGAGTGTCCTGCTGATGATGATACAGCATAAGATATCAGGAGTTGGGGCAGTCCAGATGGCAGGTTAGTTTCTGGGCATCACTTTGGAATGTATTTATAGTATGAATATTTCCTTCCCCTTCAAAGCACTCATCTTTGATGTCAATACTCTTCTTTAGAACAGTTGTTCTTAACCACTTTGGAGTGAAACAACCCTGTCACAAGTGATCACCTAAGACCATCCTGCATAGCATATTTACATTGCAGTTCATAAGAATAGCACAATTAGTTATAAAGTAGAAATGAAAATAATTTTATGGTTGGAGGTCACCACAGCATAAACTGTATTAAAAGGTCACAGCATTAGGAAGGTTGAGAACCACTGCTTTCGATAGAAGAGTTAGTGACACATCCCTTCTATGAGCACCACTTGCTGTGATTTTTTTCTTACATTTATGAAGTTAGTACATGCTTACATAGAAAGTATAGCAGAGAATAATGGACAGAATGGCTGAAGTTTCTATTCTACAAAGAGTAATAAACATTATAACCTATATCTTTATACTGTCATATGTAGTCACACACACACCTTTTTTATTTTTATTTTGAAGGCAATATAGTCATACTGGCTGTACTTTTGGTAACTATCTTCTGCTTGTTGTATCTGATCATAGAATATATTCTGTCAACCTGGCTCTCCCCCATCAATCATCCTGAGGAATGCTTGTTTGGAGATGGGTTTTGTTGTTAAATTTTTAAAACTTTATTTATTTTTATTTTATATGTAAAAGTGTTTTCCTTTTATATTTGTAAGTGTACCACGTGCATTGCTTGGTGCCCAAAGAAGCCAGAAGGCATTAGATTCCCTAGGATTGGTGTTATAGATGGTTGTGAAGTTCTATGCAGGTGCTGAGAAAAGAATGGAATCCTCTATAAACACAGAAGGCAGTTCTTAACTGCTGAGTCCTCTCTCTAGCCCCTAGAGGGTTGGTTGGTTGGTTGGTTGGGATTTTTTTTTTTTTTTTGGATGGTTACGATTGGAGAAGGAGAAGCTACTGACATGCAGTTATTAAAGGCAATGTCTTAGTCATGACCAAGGCAACTCTTAT